ATTAATTTGTTGTGTGCCACCATATGTATTTTGAAACTACAATGAAAACAAGTTTTATTTGATAGAGTTGGTTTGCAAGGCTTTTATTCTACCCCACACTCAAGTCCGAATCATGTTAGTGTTATTTTCTTAGTCAAATGGTGTCACCGTTTGAAAAAAATTTCATATATTTTTTTTCTTATGGTCAAATGGTGTCACCGCTTTAAAAAAATTTCGGGGTCCGTCCCTGGCTACAAGTCCTCTATAAAGCATGATAATAACACATAATCTACCTTATTAAACACCTAATACACATTAGAACACATTTAGAGGCATTTGCTAAGCATATTAAAAAAAGAGTATGTTACATATATCCTTTAAATTGGTTATGTAATTTACTTTATATTCTTTATTTTTTTATTTTTCATTTTACATCTTTACCATAAATAATTGTATATATACTTAAATAAATTTAAAAAATACATTTATAATTTATTTACAAATTATATTATTATAATTATCTAGTCAATATCTTCAAAACGAGTCAAATATAGAATATTTTGGGATTTAATCATATAAATAACATAAATACATATGACATTCATTATTTCACCTATAGTTAACACACACACACACACACACATACACACACACACATATATATATATATATATATATATATATATATGAGCGATNATATATATATATATATATATATATATATATATGAGCGATCAAATGAAAACCACTCCAACTTGTAAAACCCGTAAAAACTACTCTCATCCGTCGATTTCATTGTTTAATCTTATGAAATTTTTTCATGAGATTGTTTAATCTTGTGAAATTGTTTCATATAATACTTTTTTTTGATGAAGTTGTTTCATATATGGTTATGAAATTATTTCACGATGGCGAACCATTTATATGTTATTATTTTGATTTTACTTCGCTTTAACACAACACGATTAGCTTTATTGGAAAGTAATATCCAAAAGTTCCAACCTGACCTGAGAGGGTACATAAGGAACATGGCTGACCAAGCTCCTCTTTCTAACGATTGAAAAAAAGAAAGAGACATTGTTCTTCCCAACTGCTCCAATAAACGTGCCTACACCCCATCCCGTCTRGAGAATGATATGATTGACCGATAGTACTTACCCGACACTAAACTAAGGGTTTGATCTGCAGCCTCCTGAAATCCAACATGCACAATTTGAGTTAGGTTGTGCTGTTCAAATGTCTTCAGTACGTGTTTTTCTTAGTTCTGTGATTAATAATTTTTTTTACGTGAAATACATTAATTAATTCCTTTATGTTTACCATGCTTCATAAACTTTTAATCAAAACATATTACTTTTGTAGGACAAAAAAGTCGTAAATTGAAATTCAAATATTATATCTATGTCTATCATTCATCTCTCATTGATTCTTACTACAAATATTTATATCGGAATCCCACTTTATTAAAAAAAAATTCGTATTTATTAGAACCCTTGTTTTTATATGTTGCAGGATCTATATAGTGTCAGAAACGGGTTCGATGATAATGATTGATTGTGTGTTGTTTTTTAAGATTATTTTTTGAAATAAAGTAATTAAATTAATGGTTTTTCAAAAAATGGAACATCTATCAATCACCTCACTATGGGTCACAAGTTGTTACCTATACATTGAATCATAAATTGCAAATTATGTTTCAATTAAATTTTTAGAAAAATATAATTTGAATTTTTTCAAAAAATGGAATATCTTTTTATTAATAAATTATTAGAAAACAAGTGTTTTAAACATATTTTAAAATATTATTATATAGAAATCCTACAAAATCCCGTGAAATCCCAACCACCTCCGTGGGATTTCAAAATCCGAACAATCCTGCAAATCAAACATGGATTTGAAATCCAAATTCTTTCAAATACATTTCATTCCCACAAATCAAACGGACCCTAAAAGTATTTTTGAAATTTAATTTTTTTTGGAAAAAATGCTTGTGAAAACGACAATTTAACAAGAAAAAAAAGATGAAAAGTCACAAATCAAATGAAAATTCATTAGGAAGTCACGCCTGAAGGCACGTTATAATTGCCGACACTTTTACCTTATGTAACTTATAAAATAATTTTAAGTCGGTTTTCATATTTTTGTAACTTTTTTCTCGTTTTCATCTAATTTACACACACACACACACACACACATATATAGGGAAAGATTAAAATGAGAACACCTTATTTTACGAGAACGCGAGAACACCCTTTTACTATAGACAATCATATATGATACTATTATTCCATCACATGTGATACTAAATCAGAGACACGGAAGATTTTGGATGTGATCTTAGTTGCGGGACAAATCGTCCTTACACCACTAAGTCCTCTCACATGTATTATCACATGTGATAAGTGTGTTGTTAATATGATATTATAATTTATTAAGACTATCACATATGATGTTAAATCATAAACACAGACAACCTTTGGTGCAGTCTAAGTCATAGAACACGTCGTCCGCACATCACATGGTCTCTTCACACGTATTATCACATGTGATAAGAGTATTTTCACGTTCTCGTAAAATAGAGGCGTTCTCATTTGAAACTCCACATATATACGTTAACTGATTGGTAAAAGTTCGATAGTTTATTTATTTAAAAAAAAATTCACAAGTCTTAGTCATTCAAAATATGAAAGTTTAATGGTTTTTTTTCATTCAAAAAAATAGTTTAAAAACTTAATCATTGAAATACAACACAAACAAAATTTGCATGATTTTGTAACGATAAACTCATAAAAAAATAAAGTAACTTTTATTTTATGTTATTTATACTTTGTATATCAATTACAATTCACTGGTACATGGCACTGGATTTTTTTTATATCATATCAGATCCATCTGTAATTTTTACTGACACAAAATTTAATTTTTTTAGCACATGACTGCTTTTTATTAACTACTAATTTTATAAATCCGTTACATGTAGAAATTTGTATTATAGAAAAATCAAACAGACATTAAAAAAACCCATCGTGTGTAAAAATTTCATCAAGAAAACTTAATTACATGTTAGACAATTTTTTTTATTAACCTGAATATCCAACCCGCTATGCGAGCCGACTAATCCCAGGACGACCACCTGCTTTGCAGATAGTCCGGAGTCACCGCATTTGAACCTCCATGACCACAAGGAGATTTTTATTCCTCCTTGGATTTATATGTTAAGACAATTATCGTCATGAAAAATAGAATTGTTTAAAAGAAAACATAATATTGCTAATAAACAATTATAAAAAGAATATCATAACGACCAAATCATTGTAACTGATGTCATGAGCCAAAGGTTCTAATTCAAGTGTTATCTTTCACAACAGATGCATGATATTAACGAGTTTTAGAGATTTTGAAGTTCCAAATATATATGAAATATGCTATATTTGTTTGACTTGAGATCATGTGAGACCAACTTTTTACACTTAAAACTTCACAGTAAAATGCTGTGAATGTGGCTTTTTTTTAACCTTCACAGTGTTTTTGCTGTGATGTTTCAAGTGTAAAAATGTGATCTCACGAAAACAACCTGGTCTCACGTGAACCCAATCCATATTTGTTTAATTTATATATTCAGTGTTATTATCTGAAAGACCGACCTTAACATCTTTGCTCAAATTTCTAACCCATATGTTTGATTTTGGTTTCGATGGTAACATGTACCTAACATGACAGAGTATTAGATACGTTTCGATTCATAAAATAGTTATTCTTTTTCCTTTTTAATCTGTCTAGATGAATGATTATCAGATGTTTTTTTTTTATTTTTCTACTGTTTTTCTTTTAAACCAAACCCTATATTAATATTTTATATATAATAATGGATAAATATGTAAATTTTTTACCTAAAAATGCATAGGGATATATATGAAGTGGAAAAGAAGAAGCAACGACCCAAAGTTTGTAGAGAAAGAGAACACTAACACAGATTCCAACTCATTCCTCCACTATCAACAGTGCATACATTAGAAACTCGAATCATGAATCCAAAGACCATATTTTCTACACACAAAAAGGAATTTTTGCTGCACAAATCCAACACCCAATTTTCCATTTTGTCAGGCCCAGCAACAATGGCGGAGATTGCGATCTCAACTTTAAGGAATTCACACAAACGTCTCGTCTCTATCGTTCCCTCTACTTCACATGTATGTTCGGTATAAAGCAACAGAGCCACACACATTTCAATTCGTCCAACCAATTATAGAACCCCCATGATCATCATGGAAAAGAAGAACGAGAGAGGGATGCATATAATGCTGTAGAGTTGTATCAAAAAGCCAACTAGCGCCACCTTTGTGTTGACTCCCTTTTTCATGGTTTTCTTGTTTTTCCATCCACCAATGTCGTCAATCACACTCACACCCTTCCGTCTTTCTCTCTCTAAATCAATTCGTCTTGAATTCGTTGAGGTGGACGGTATGAAACGAGGCACTCGACTCTAGAAAATTTTACTGGTCCTCAGAACATGTAGTATGCATGTATGTATATATGAATGTACTTTCTCTCTCTTCCTTATCTCTTTGATTTTATTGCTTGCCCATCCTTTCATTTATGTCACGGATCATTCAACCTTTTTGTGATCTAATTTAATTTGTCTTGCACTTTTTGATGATTAAGCGTATGGGTTGTGTTTGAATCTTGTTATTGGAGTATAATTGGGTAGCCCTCCAAGTGTTTGATTATATGACGCTGAGTCTTTGCCTATTATGATCATCAAAACCTCGCAAGACTTGCTTAGCTTACTAATCCCTCTTTTGCATTTTCGCACCCTTTTCCCACTATGCTTTTGCTCCATAATATTGTCTCTTTCGATTTTCATGTAAACCACTCCTTGGCTGTGTGGCACAGTGAATTCTTGATAGCTACATCTTTCACTTTTATCATACTGTTTTCTTCCTGTTAAAACCAGAACTCAATTCGTTTCTTTCTTTGCTTATACCCTTTCTTCTTTTCTCATTGTTCGGTGTTCAAACATGCCAACCCTCATGAATCTTGATCTTGGAAAACATTTTTGGGCCTTCACGCTCCTTATGTTATCGATTGTTATCCTTGTCCATTCAATAAACGAAGAGGGTGCTGTACTTTTGGAGTTCAAACTCTCTCTTGCTGACCCAAGTAGCAATCTTCATAATTGGAATCCATCTGATTCGTTTCCTTGTGCTTGGATCGGTATAGGCTGTACCGATGATCATAAGGTAAATTCTATAAACCTCCATGGCCTTAATTTATCTGGCTCTTTATCGTCAACCATTTGTAAGCTTTCGTTTTTAACTGAATTGAACATGTCCAAGAACTTCATATCTGGTTCCATTCCTAAAGGTTTAGCTTCCTGCCAACATTTGGAGGTTTTAGACCTCTGCACAAATAGATTTCGTGATGATTTCCCCACTCAAATATGCACAATTTCCTCCCTAAAAGTGCTCTCCTTATGTGAAAATTATATTGGTGGTCAGATACCTGATGACATTGGGAAATTGATTTTGTTGGAAGAGCTTGTTGTTTACAGTAATAATCTCACTGGGATGATTCCCAAGTCCATTGGTAGATTGAAACAGCTTAAAATAATCAGGGCGGGTGTAAATTCTTTGTCGGGGCCGATTCCTAGTGAGGTCGGTGAATGTGAAAACCTGCAGGTTTTTGGGTTAGCACAGAATAATTTAGATGGTCCATTTCCTAGAGAGCTTCAAAAGATCAAGAATCTGAGTAGTTTGGTCCTTTGGCAAAATCTTTTATCTGGCAAAATTCCTCCCGAGATTGGGAATTTCAGCAGCTTGGAATTACTTGCACTTCATGCAAACTCTTTCTCTGGAAGCATTCCAGAAGAAATTGGTAAGCTCACACAACTGAAGAAGTTGTACCTGTATACGAACCAGTTGAACGGTACAATTCCACAAGAACTAGGGAATTGTCTAAAGTTAGTTGAGATTGATCTTTCTGAAAACCATTTAACTGGGGTTATCCCAAAAAAGTTGGGCCAGATAACAAACCTCCGCCTGCTTCATCTTTTCGAAAACCTCCTGGTGGGTGGCATTCCAAATGAGCTTTCACATTTGAAAGAGCTTCGGAAACTAGACTTGTCGATAAATAACCTGACAGGGGAAATTCCTTCAGGCTTTCAAAACATCTCATTCTTGGAAAGTTTTCAGCTTTTTGATAATCATCTTGAGGGAAGCATCCCTCCATTGATAGGAGCTAGTAGTAACCTCTCAGTTCTTGACATATCCATGAATAATCTTGTGGGAACCATACCTCCACACCTTTGCAAATTTCAGAAGCTAATGTTTCTAAGCCTGGGATCGAATAAGTTATCTGGCAACATTCCCCGTGATCTGAAATCATGCAAATCTCTTATACAGTTGATGTTAGGAGACAATTTGCTTACTGGTAGCCTCCCTCTTGAGTTCTCCAACCTTTATAACCTTTCCGCTCTTGAACTACATCGAAACCACTTCACTGGGCCTTTACCCTCAGAAATAGGCCAGTTAAAGAATTTGAAAAGACTTCACTTGTCTGACAATTACTTCTTTGGTCACATTCCTCCTGAAATCGGGAATTTGGTTCAGCTTGTTACATTCAATGTCTCTTCTAATCAGCTTTTTGGGGACATTCCTCAGGAGCTGATGAATTGCTTAAATCTCCAGAGACTTGACCTGAGCAGGAACTGGTTTACAGGCCAAGTTCCTTCTGAAGTTGGCAATTTGGTAAATCTTGAGTTGCTCAAGTTGTCGGATAACAGAATGAATGGACCAATACCAACTTCATTAGGGAAGCTGGCACGTCTTACTGAATTGCAGATGGGTGGTAATTTTTTCTCTGGCAATGTCCCTTTTGAGCTTGGTCAACTCACTGCTCTTCAGATTTCACTCAATATCAGTCATAACTCTCTTTCTGGCACAATACCTCAGAACCTTGGGAACTTGTTGATGTTGGAATCACTTTACTTGAATGATAATCTACTTGATGGAGAAATTCCTGCATCAATCGGCCAGTTAGTGAGCCTCTTGGTCTGTAATCTTTCTAACAATGGCTTGTTTGGGGCTGTTCCAAACACTCCCATTTTTAGAAGGATGGATCCTAGCAACTTTGCAGGAAACCATGGCCTATGCATTTTGGATTCAAATTCAAACCATTGTCAACCACCTTCAATCCCGCGATCTAGTCAACATTCTGGCTGGTTCAAAGATCGGTTCTCAAAGGATAAAGTAGTGAGCATTGTTTCTGCTACTGTAGGGTTTTTCTCTTTAATCTTTGCCATGGGTGTTTGTTGGGCTATAAAGCACCGAAAACCAGTCTGTGTGCCATTTGAAGAAGATCACATTAAGCCTGATGTGTTGGACAATTACTACTTTCCAAAGGCGGGATTCAGATATCAGGATCTTGTTGAAGCAACTCATAACTTTTCAGAGGATGTTGTGATCGGAAAAGGAGCATGTGGGGTGGTGTACAAGGCGATCATGGCTAATGGTGAGGTGGTGGCAGTGAAAAAGTTGAAGTCCAGTGGAGGAGGTGCTGATGTTGACCGTAGCTTCCTTGCTGAAATATCAACTCTTGGAAAAATCCGTCACAAGAATATTGTGAAGCTTTATGGTTTTTGCTACCATCAGGAATCCAATCTTCTATTATATGAGTATATGGAAAACGGGAGTCTAGGAGAACTACTTCACGGGCAAAATCATGCTCATTTTCTTGACTGGGATGCTAGATACAAGATCGCCCATGGAGCAGCTGAAGGGTTATGCTATCTCCACAATGACTGTAGACCCCACATTATCCATCGCGATATAAAGTCAAACAACATATTATTGGACAAAGTGCTTCAGCCTCATGTCGGAGATTTTGGTTTGGCAAAGCTGATGGACTTCTCTTGTTCCAAATCCATGTCCGCTGTTGCTGGTTCATACGGCTACATTGCCCCAGGTAAAACTACAATTTCACTTCTGAAAATTGGTGCAAAGTATGCAAATTTGACAAGCAGTTTTCTCACAAAGATTTCTTTTATGTTGGTTTTCAGAATATGCGTATACAATGAAAGTAACAGAAAAGTGCGATATCTACAGTTTTGGAGTGGTTCTTTTGGAACTTGTTACTGGGAGGCCTCCGGTTCAACCCCTTGATCAGGGTGGGGATCTTGTGACATGCGTTAGAAGATCGATTCATGGGATGGTTCCAGTTTTGGATCTCTATGACAAAAGGTTAGACTTGAGTTGTAAAAGGACAACCGATGAGATGTCTCTCTTTTTAAGGATAGCATTGTTTTGCACTAGTCCATCTCCACTCAATCGGCCAACAATGAGAGAAGTCGTAGCAATGATGATTGACGCTAAGGAGGTCACCAGCAATTCACTCTCATCTCCATCATCAGAAACTCCTCTAGATGATGCTAATTCTTGTAAAGGTCAGAGAATCCTTTGTCATAAAAAATTTCAGAATCCATAAAAGGCTCTTGTGCATATGCACTATACTATTCTGAGCTCATAATTGTATGGGCAATCTTCAGTACAACAAAGTCAGTTTATAGGATGCTAAATATATCTAAATATCCTAATATATCGCTTTGTAGGACTGTAAGTTTATATGACCAAAAAATTATGCATGATATGTGAAAGTGTTACAATAAGTTGATATGACACTTTTGGATGTCCTAACAAGTGTTTTAGGACACTCTTGAAATTAAGTGTCTTACTAACTTTTTTATATGGCACTTTTGAGAAGTTAAACACATCTTTTTTATAGGACACTTGTTTTTATAAGACACTTCTTCAAACGCGTCATAAAAACCTTGTTAGGACGTCCAAAAGCATTTAATCAACTTATTGTAACACATTTACATAGGACACACAATTGTTTGGCCATAAAACTTAAGTCCTATAAAGCAGTTTATTAGGACATTTAGACGTATTTGGTATCCTATGCAACCGATTTTGTTGTAATGCTTTGTGTATTTGAGAGAAAAATCACAGTAATCATAAATTGATATGCAGGTTATGTAGAGCCAGCAGAAATGGGCACTAGTCCCTGGCAGTCTTCCTCATCCTTGCGTCACTTGGATTATCTGAGTAAATAATGGTATCTGGTATGCTTGATTTTGATCAGCCAAGGTCAGACTATCATCTCTCATTCTTATTGTACAAAAAGAAAAGAATAAAAAAGATAATGGAACATAGTTTCCAGTTATTGAATGGGAACTTTCGCCGGGTTTTTTAAGTAAACTCAACAACCCTCATATCCTTCTATGTCATACCAATTAGAATACATACAGAAATGATTCTCATGACTCTGAATTCAAGATTAGAATTTGTTCTATTGATCATAACTTGTATACCAACACTAATCATCAAGTTCCAACCTTTGTTTTCGGATTCTATTTAAATTGTTCTTAAAATAATAGTAGACAATTCTGCGAAGTTGAAATTGGTTGGAAGTAGAAGTTGGAAGACAGGTTGTATGCTAATTATTGAAGATGGCTTATGCTGATTTTACTGGTTCAACTCCAGTATTTTGAAATAAAGTTCTTCTCTTCCTTGTCTTTTGTGGGAACTAGAAACACCCAATTATTAAAGTTTGAATCTTGATATAATTTAGAATTTGTTAGGTTTATGGGTGAGTGTGTTTGAAATTGGTTGTTGTGATCAAGAAGGAATTATGTGACATAAGGCCATGGTTGGTACATAGTGAGTTGCACCTTTGACATTTTTAACCTTTGTGTTAGGTAAGAATTTGGGAATTTGGTTCATTTTAGTAGTTTTTTATTGCATACACTTTCTCTTCTAGTCTTCTTGTTTCCTCATATCCAGGATCAGATGCTATCTACCTCCATTTTCAACCATTGTCCTTTAGGATATAAAAAACTACCCATTTCTTGTTGGATCTCCATATCAGGTGTTTCTAGGATGGAAAAGCACATGGGTGCAGGTTTGGTCATATTTTTTTATTATTGATTAATCATTTCATTATAAATAAACCAAGCCAAAATATCCTAGCAGGAGTTGGGGTCTGAATAGGGTTTCAACAAGCCTGAAGGTGGGATGTATAACTTATAATGACCTACCCATCTATCTTAAAGAGTAAGCAGACTGTTTTCGTAAAAACTTTCGGCTTATATTGTTGATCATGAATAAAGAGGGACTTTAAGGGTGGAAATTGTGATTGTTCATACTTTGAGGGGAATATTTTAACAAACCCATATAGTTGAAGGGACGAAATTGTAGTTTTTTTTAGTATTACCAAATTGCACATGAAGTGAACGTGGTTGAAGTAACTAGCCATCCTTCTTGAATGTGTTTCTGCACAGTTACAGATCTGACATCCTTAATCCATTTAATATTTTCAAATAATTTTTTTTTAAAAATAGAGTAAATTACGTTTTTCATCTATGTCGTCCGCTGTTTTTAGCGGCACTTTTTAGCGGCACTTGCCCTTTTTTCAAAAAAAATTAACAAAACATTTTCCTAGGGTTGCATTTTTTTAAAGAAGTTGCATTTCTGTTACGAGTTAGGTCTTTCTGTTTGTATTTTTTTTTTAACGAGTCTGGTCATTAAATAAATCAACACCTGGGTTTCTATTTAAAGACCTGACTCGTAAAAATGCAACCATAAAGACATGATCTATAATTTTTGTTGTTGTAACAAGAAGTACTCTAAAATATATTTCCCATCAAAAAAGCCAATAGAAAACATATGAACAAAAATTTATGTATTCAGTCCCTGAAGTTTGATTCTATCTATTTTTTACCACATTTTTTGACAATATTGTCACTTTTGCTATAACAATAATAGTTTTGGTTGGAATTTAAATTTCGTTTACACCCCTTGCTTTTCATCAATAGATAATTAAGGCCCTTCCAAATCCACCGCCGTCTCTTGGAGGGAGTGCTCACGTGACTAGCGTGTGATCTGCTACTTCTCTTCACCGTCACCCCACGGAGCTCCGGCGGGGTGTACGTACGGATCAACGGCCACTTTATTCCGTCAAAGAATGGATGCCGTTTAATGTCCGTCGCACCGCTGCTACACCCTAGTCTTCTCCGGGGATCCTTTACCAACAATTTTTCTATCAAATCCTTAGCCTCCGCCATCCACGGCGGAGCATCTCCTGTTACTTCAAACGTCACTACCCTGCTAGATGCTATATTGCGCAGGGTGGACTCTTTGCTCCCTCCCTTGAACGGCGTTCTTCCGTACAATAACTCATACACCAGTACACCAAACGCCCACCAGTCAACGCCGTTGCCATGGCCGCTCCCGTTGACCAATTCCGGCGCCAAATACTCGTGAGTCCCGACGCATGATTTCGAAAAAGCCGTCGTCGGCTCCGCTACAAACTCCGTCACAATTTCTTCATCCGTACGTCTCCGGCGCCGGTTCCCACCGTAGCAACGACTCCGGTGTTTCCCGCTTGACGACGACGTCGTCCCTTGGATTCTGTTATCCAGTTTCGGTACAACGTCGGCATTGAAACACAAATCAAAATCCGACAACATAATGTGACCATCTTCTCGAATCAAAATGTTTTCCGGCTTCAAATCCCGATACACGATCCCAAGTGAGTGGAGGTATTCAAGAGCTACTAAAACCTCCGCCGCGTAGAATCTAACAGAGTCGATCGGTAGCCGGAAATTAGGTTGCTTCCGGAGCAAGGAATGAAGGTCGCCATTAGGGCAAAAATCAATGAGGAAGCACGTGTAGTGAGAAACTTCTAGATGAGCGTAAAGCGTGGGGAGGAACGGGTGGTCGAGAGAGGAAAGAATCCGACCTTCCGTCTGCACATGAGAGAGCTTCTTGGAGGTTAATGAGTTCTTATCAACGACTTTAATGGCGAAATTGGAATGTTCATAGTCACGGAGACGACAAAGGAACACCCGGCCAAGATTACCCGACCCGACAAGTTTTACAAGCTTGAGGTGGCGCAGGTGGAGAGTTCCATCAGAGGAAAGGTTGGTGGCAGCTTTAATGGCGGACCAGTTGGTATCAGATTTCCGGTGAGGACGAGAATGGAGGTTGGGGACGGTGGTGGTGGTGGTGGTGGAGGTGGAAGCAGAAGCGGAGGAGAGACGAGTGGATTCGTTAAAACTGAGACATAAACTTGAGCGAGCAAGACTAGAGCGGGCACTGGAGGAGGCTATGGTGGTGGTGGTGGTGGTGGCGATGGAGGTGAAACTGAGGTCAAGATCGGAATCTTGAGGGAAGATGGTATGATGATCTTCTTCCATGGCTGTATGTTTGGAGGCAGGGATGGTGAAGGGTCTTATAAAAGAGATGAAGTGGGACATGTGTAATTTAATGGCCTTAACGTGTCTGGTTGACCAATTAAAAGTTGGAGAGATGTGTGGTAGGTTTTTGTTGACCAAATATTAAAAAGGGTGGTAACTGTAAATAGATGAAGGTTGAAGGTGTAACTTGAACCAAAATGACTTGTTACTCGTTTACATAACACATCTAAGCGTCTGTTTGTTAGTAGTTTAATGAATTTAATGGAACTCACAACTTATTTAATTAGTGATACATGACTGTTTAGTAATTGTTTCATGATTAGGAAGTAGCTTATTCGGTATGCTTTATGCAGAAAGTCAAACTTTTTTCTAAACCTACCCCTCGATAATTAAAAACACATTTCTTCCATCTGTGAAAAAAACTTTCTCAATATATATAGACAGATTAATCTACACAGACAACTTTATCTATACAGAATTTGGACTTAATGGAAAACCAACCCAACAGTCCCTAAATATTTTCAGTTTCCTCGTCATGATCTAAAATAATATCTTACAATTTATTAATGAAATTAACTAGCAATTGATGATATTTTTGTCTTTTTAAAAATATCGACTCATTCTGATATATACTGAGTTAACATCTTGTTAGGGTTATTAGACAGGGTATCTTTGTTGTAACACGGTAAAGTAGTCATTTAAGACCTCAACTAAACATGTACGAGAGTATTGATGGTTTGGGAAGGCAAAAGGACCAGATGCATAAATGTTAAAGTAGAGGGGGTGAAAGTGAATATTTGTCAGGATTTAATGGACGAGTAATAATAGAACCTCAGGTCTATGTTTAGGCTTATTAATTTCAACAAAATTAAATATACGTCTGCTACAAAGAGAAAAAAAAGGGTGCAGTTGTGTTTGTATTAAATCAAATAAAAATCATAAAATTTCTTCAAAAAAGGCAATTAAAACTAATAATATTATACAAATGTTAAAATCTGTGAAATTCAGTTTATATATATATATATATATATATATATATTTGGATATAAAGTTGATTACCGACAATCCCAACAAGCCTATACAGAACCTGCCCAGCAGATGGGGAACCGGCTCACCTGACCTGAATGGGGACAGGGATTCCCTGCTAAAACGGGTCCGCGAGGGGGGGGGGGGGGAGGAATCCCCAGTAGACTCAAACCGGGGTTGTGGCCGGGGCCGGATATTGTACCCCCCCGACCCTCTTCGTACTCGGGTATTCTCCATTCACCACTGCATTTGCACTCCAATGACTTCTTTTGTTGCATCATCTGCTTCTTTCTCCCTCCTCCCTACAGCTCCCTCCTCCACCTCTTCCCGTACTCTTCTTAGCCTCCATTCTCCCTCCTTCCGCTCTCCACTCCCTGCCCGCGCCTTTACTGCCGCTAATCCCCTTCTCTCTTCCCACGTTGCCTCCAAACTCCGATCCATCCAAACCCCTACCAAAACCAATCACAACCACTGTCTCTATGGCCAAGAAGAGCGTCAGAGATCTCTCTCTTACCCAACTCAAGGAAAAGAAGGTGTTCATTAGAGCTTATTTGAATATATCTTTAGACGATAATCAGAATATCATTGACGATACAAGAATCAGAGCAGCCATCCCTACCAGCAAGTACCATTATACCCCTGAGACTTTTCACAAATTCCCAATTATAGGGTTAGGAGTCGGATGATCGGGGTTTGACTGAAGACATGCCTACTTTCACCTGTAGTCACCTTCATCTACTTTCACAAACATTCAAACACTTGTATATACATAAAATTGTTAAAGTATCGGTTATAGTTATATAGATAGATATATGGAGTTAAAAGAAAATAGATGAACGTGTGTGAGTTCAAATGGTTGAAAGTTAATGAAATTCACTGTTCTCACTGTTCTTTTTTTTTTCTTTTTGTTAATCTATGGGTGTCTATATTCTCAGTGCTTTTTTTATTAACTTGGATATCCAACCCGCTATATGAGCCGACTAATCTCAGGACGACCACTTGCTTTGCAGATAGCCCAGAGTCACCGCATTTAAAGCTCCGTAGCCACAAGGGGATTTTTATTCCTCCTTGGATTTGAAACTATATTTATTTTATAAAATGTATTTTCTTTAAAATACATTCAATATTAACAAATTTTAATCTATGTAATAATTACCATCGGATTAAAAAATAAGTATGGACCAATATAAGAAATGTTACAATTATTTTGAAATAAAAATAAAATATCTTTAAAATAATTCAAGTATAATTATGTTCATTATCATCATATTTTAAATAAATTAACGAAGATACTTTTAATTATTTTCTGTTTAAATAATTTTTAATTGATAAAAAAATTATTTAAATACATTATAAAGTACAACTTATTATTTCAAAAGATTTTTATCTTAAACAATATTATTTATATTTCAGAAATATGTCTATAATATATTGTTAATAAATAATATTCATGATCTAAATAATAATTTAGAAATAATATTTGTAACTTACCAAAAAGGGAAAAAAGTCGCCGGAGCCGTCGCTACCGGCGGTACACCACCTCTTGCATGATAGTAGAATCAGATTAATAGAATATAGAAGCTTCTTGAATAATTAATTAAATACTTTTATTTAAAGGAATAATTGGGCAAATGCTTAATTACTGATAATTAATTAAAAATAGACGGTCCCATGTGATGGGCCCTGATTAGCCCAATAAGTATTGTGGACCCTATCAAGAAACTGTCTGCCACGTGGTAAACATTGGCCCTATTAAGTCGCATTTTTCAGCTAATCACAAATTGACAAGATAGCATATAAAATATTTTATTATTTTCCCATTTTTTTAGTTAACAGGTGAAAACGAATTTAGATCAAAAAATAGATATTTTATATTAAAAAATATATATTAATTTTAATATTTTTTAAAATTAAATGTTGAATAAATACTTTTTTTAACTGCTAAAAGAAAATGTAATTATTTCATGATATTTTTATATTTAATTTATCTAGAATTTTCATCCAATTTAAATCGACATTAGAAATAAAGGATAGCACCTTTTGGGCGTGGGCGGACCTAGTTAGGTGCCATGGGTAGCACGTGCCACCGTATCGTTTCTTCGCTGAAGGGTAAAAAATTTAGGTTTCGTGAACGGTGCAACCGTATTAATTTGTTGTGTGCCACCATATGTATTTTGAAACTACAATGAGAACAAGTTTTATTTGGTAAAATTGGTTTGCAAGGCTTTTATTCCACCCCACACCCAAGTCTGAATCATGTTAGTGTCATTTTCTTAATCAAACGGTGCCACCGTTTGAAAAAAATTCCGTATATTTGTTTCTTATAGTCAAATGGTGCCACCGTATGAAAAAAATTCCGTAAATTTGTTTCTTATAGTCAAACGGTGTCACCGTTTGAAATAAAAATTATATATTTTTTTTTCTTATGGTCAAATGGTGCCACCGTTTAAAAAAAATTCTGGGTCCGTCCCTGCCTTTGGGTTAGAGTCATTAGAAGTATCTATGGCGGGATGGTGGTCTAAGGGACCGTTTACCTAAACACTTACCCGGTAAGCGCTTACCGGTAAAATTCAACACTATCGTTTACTTTCCGGGTAAGATTTGAGTCCACCAAAACGACATTGTATGTAAAAATTTACCCGGTAAACGCTAACCGTGGTAAGATTCATCGTCATCACTTACCAGGTAAGACTCTCAGTCCTTGTTTTCGCTCTTACCAGGTAAGATTCTTGGTCTTTGCCATAGTCATCCGATAAGGTAACATGACTTGGTAAGCATTTGGTAAACAGCCCCTAAGTAGCTCTAAGTTAGTGGTGGGTTCGAAAGGATTGACAATGGGAACATCATCAAAATTGGGAAGGATCTAGAGGGTTTGGGATTGAATTTTCCTTAGATAGGCTGGTATGGCGCTCCGCGTGGTTATATTCATACATGTTCCGACTTGGCAGTCATTATGGATCTAGTGGCATGGCAGGGCAAAAGAAAAGGGRGGGGGGGGGGGGGAAGCAACTATGAAGCTTCGTATACTCAACAAGTAGCTCCGCTTATAGAATATACTGAAGCAAGCTAGCGACTCTCCTAGTAGCGAAGGAAAGGGGCATTCGGGAAGCAACTAGTCGCTTCTGGCGAAGCTTCTAGAAGGCCGACCACTACATAGAAAGATCCATATACCAGTCATGAGCGATAGCGAAGCCTAGAGAGGCGCAGGGCAGGATCCAAGAGCTTAGAAAGGGTCAGGAAAGGAGCAGATAAGGGGTTAGATTTCACCTATGGTCAGATCAGTGGGCAGCTTCATCGTTCGGTTGACCAACTGGGAATGTGAGAGATACTTAATTTTGGAGGGATAAATAGATCAGTAATGTTAAGATGTGAGAAAGCTTATCGAGGCTTTTACGTCCTTGAGATAACTTCAAAAGCTCGAGTTAGTGAGGGAGGGGTATGGAGAGAAAGGGTTTGCAAGTGAAAGTGGTGTTGGTCTCATAATCCTAGAGGGAAGGTTACAAGTTAGCTGGAAGGTCTTTTATCCTTACTGCATTTCCTTAATAGTAATTTACAAGGATTCTTGTAAATGGTTCATGAAAATGGAGCTTTTAAAGTGTCTCTTTTCAGGTAAACGGTGGACAAAGTAAACCACATCAGAAACCCTTATGATATGGAACAAGAATGTACCCTAAAAAATTAACATCTTCGTTTGGAGGACCCTTAAAAATATTCCAGTTTTTAAAGAGTTAAACGAAATAGGAATCGATCTCAACTCGATTCTATGTTCGACATGTAATGACGCTACTGAGATTGTGGAGCGTTGCTTATCAACTGCACGAATCCATATCCTCTCTTTGAGGTAACCATGTCGATTGTTTCTCTGAAGGGTTTCTGCCAATCGGTCCGTTCGACCGCGATTTACATCTTGCGGAGAAAAAGAATGCTCGTGTCTTCAAAGGAGCTGGCTCAAATAAAAATTCAAATAATTTTTTTAATCAGTTATTCATCTAATCAATTTACAATCACAATAATTATCATGAAAACATATCCAAAATTATATTTGAAGGCAAACAATATATTTATTTTATGAAAAAAAATCAATATAATTTATAATATATGATTCACACATTAATGCTTCTCTTCTATATCCAATATTAAATCGTCCAAATAATTTTGTAAAATAAAACGCAATCTGCCATTGGCACGTGATCAAAGTTATTTTGCATTTTTTTTATATTTATTTAATTTTATAAATCCACTATTGATCCATAATTAAATTTTGCAATCACAAACTTGATCATGATTTTCTATTTTAATTATTAATAAATAATGTTACTTTAAGACGTAATCATTGATGTAATACGTTATATTTGCTTCTAAATTTACCAAACGATTATTCGGATATGTGCTTATTGATAAAATTCAAAACTATCACTTACTTACAGTTACAGGTAACATTTTAGTTTATAAACAGATTTTTTAACTGTTCATTTGTAATTGTGAGTATCTGAGACATGTTATAATACCTAGACGAATTTCTTGAGATCATACTGATAATAATTAGAAAAATCTTAAACGATCATGAGAAGACTAAAAACTAATAGTCAATCGAAAAGCGTAAAAAATAGTAATTGTTTATCAGTTAATTTGATTTTAACTGACTATAAATGTCAAAGAAGTTGACATTGTAGGGTAAAATCCTATGGTAGAAAGTGTGGCCCGTTGACATATTGGATGACACATATTCCCCACATCACAAAAGACAACATGGCACGATGTATGTCCATGATGATGATGATGATGATGATGATGATGTATGTGATGTGATATTGTGGCTCGATTATAGCTTCATACACAAAAGGCCCACCCAATTTTTGTATTTTGGGCCCCTTCTTTTAAATGTGGGCTTCTTTTTCATTCGGCTTGTCTTCTCAATCTCAATTCTCATAATGGAAATGGAATTGTCAATATCATATCTTGTCAAATTAAATTTTAAATAATATTAAACTTTTAAATAATAATAAAATTAAGAGATGAAAAAACAAAAAATAGATAATTTAATGAAAATAGTTGGGTGCGATATTGGTTTGAGCTTGAGCTCCAAAGGTTAAAAGCGTTTGGATGTTACAGGTTCGAATCCAATTAGAAATAAAAATCTTCATGTGGCCATAGAGGTTCAAATGCGGTGGCTCCAGGTTATTCGTAAAGCGGATGGTCGTTCTAGGATTAGTGGGCTCGCATAACAGTTGGATATTAAGGTTAATAAAAAATAAATTAATTGCAATAGCTACGTGTATTATTTGGATGCATTAAAAAAATGAATGGAAAGTTGGTGGTTAAGCCATAATAAATGTTGAAAACGCATTTAATATTTGGAGACGTATTCATGCACGAGAACAAGAGAGTGAGGAATAAAAAGCGGGTTTAAATGGGTCTATAATTCCACATCTTTTTCAAGGTGCAATGTATCCATCCTTCTGTACCTAATTTTAATTATTATCAAAACACACACACACACACATATATATATATATATATATATATATATATGGTATATTTCAAATGCAACAATTTCTATTTATACAACCAATGCAACTCAATTAATTGAGATATTTATAAAAATGATGAGAGTTTATTTATTATAATTTGAATATTTATGAAAGATAAATAAAGTTCATTAATTATGATCAATACTTTATATTAGGAAACAATCAAAACTTCTATGAAATCATATATTCATCAAATTAAATGGACGGTTGAGATTGAGTTGTATTGATTGTACAAATGTAAAGAGTTGTATAATAATGAATCCTCTCTCTCTCTCTCTCTCTCTCTATATATATATATATATATATATACCGTAAAAACTACTCTCATCCATCGTTAATCTTATGAAATTTTTTCATGAAATTGTTAATCATGTGAAATTGTTTCATATAATACCTTTTTTGATGAAGTTGTTTCATATGTGCTTATGAAATTGTTTCATATACTACTTAATGAAATTTTAATGAAACTGTTTCTTAATTTCTCTAAAATTAAAATAATGAAGATGGTAATATCCATGATTAACACCCTCCACAATAAAAATGGTTAATCAACCTCTCATAATTACAAAAAAATAAACAAAATAGAAAATTATGATTGGTTGAATGAGGTTTTCACGGTTTTTACAAATTGAGTGATTTTTATTTGAACCCACCTCTATATATATAGGGTTGGGTTCACGTGAGACCAAAGATTTTTCGTGAGACCCGTAAGACCAATTTATGTTTATTGATCAACTTTATAAGCTAATGATCTAAAGTTCCACGGTGACAATTTTGTGATTATTGAGAAGTCTCGTGACAAATTTGTGATTATGAATGTTTAGATTGTAGATCTAATCCAAGGGTTGAGAATTGGTCTTATGGGTCTCACGAAAAACCTTTGGTCTCACGTGAACCCAACCATATATGTATATATATAAACTTGGGATCATGTGAGACCAAAGGTTTTTCGTGAGACCCATAAGACCAATTTATGTTCATTGATCAACTTTATAAGTTAATGATCTAATGGTCTAAAGTTTCACGGTGACAATTTTGTGATTATTGAGAAGTCTCGTGACAATTTTGTGATTATGAATGTTATTGTAGATATAATCAAAGGGTTGAGAATTAGTCTTATGGGTCTCACGAAAAACCCTTAGTCTCACATGATCCCAAGTCTATATATAGGTGTAGGTTCAAACGAAAACACCTTCATTTTACGAAAAAATAATATAGTTGTATCTTCACACGTATTTCATATGTAAAACGTTCATGACTGTTTTTTTTTTACATACAAAATAGTCTTAAGTGTTTCACATATGAAATAATATAATTATATCTTTACACGTATTTCATATGTGAAACAATATATAAAAACTTGTTTGTAAATTTATGGGGTAAATATGAATTGTATGTAAGTATTGATTAGTTTATGATTTTTGAATAAGTTAATATAATTAATTAATATTCCAAAATATATAATGAATGTGGTTTGGCAAACTCTAACCAATCATTAAGCACTACCAACATGGATGATATAAAAATTGAAAGAGATGAACTAGAAGTCCATCATGGATTCATTAAGACAATGGTTTAAGATCTCCCACTTGCTTACAGTTTTGTTAGTTGCATCTTAAAATCAGATAAATAATTCCAAGATTATATTTATGACAACTACTATCAAATCATTTCTATCTCATTATCTTTTATTATAAAATTTATATTTTAAAACATTATTATAAACAAATCTTATGAAATATCGTAAAATACCAACTATCTCAGGATTTCAGTTCCAAACTTCAAGATTTGAATGGAACCCAGATCCTCCAAATCCCACAAACCAAATAGACTCTTAGTCGGTTTTGATTCGGTTCCCGACTTCTTGAGACCAAGACGAGCAAACATGTTTGAAGTTCGATCAATCGACTCGGAACCATTATGTCTTGAAAGTTTTGGTTTGTGGTTCCATTAAACAGGCCCAAGATTTTGGGCCTTATTAATCCATAGCAAACAAATTTTACATCAAGAGCTTTGTTCTTTTTCAACATCTTTCTAGTGTTTTTATACATTAATTTCGATCTCATACCAATAAAACTGAAGATCCAATTGTTACAAAAATTTCGATTTTATGGTTTCTAGAAGAGTGTTCATATGATATAACAAGTTATATCTCAATTTATTATCTATGTCGATATGATACGGTTTTTAGTAGTTTTGAGAAATCAATAATGTTTTTATTTTTGAATAAACTATAAATTTAAATATATCATACAAATTTGGAAAAAAAAGTTATATAGTATCAAATTTACTATTTAAAATTTTCGTTATTGTATAATTTATTTAATTCAATATTTTATTTATAATTTAATTTAGATTTAATAACGAAATATTTTATTTATCGTTTAATGATAAAACTTTTATAAAGATAATAATTAAATATTTTGTTATAAGTAATGGTTATCCTAATTATATTTTAAATTTTTTTATATTTAAAATGAGATGTAGATCCTATATTTGATTATATTTATCTATAGTTAGTTACACAATTTCAAAAATGAAGCTTTAATAAGTTATACTTACGTATAATTTACTTATGATCTTGAATTTTAAATAACATGAATCAATAAACAGTACTTTATAAATAAAGGGAAATGTTTTAAGAGTTTTTATCAAATACTTTATAATATAATATAGATTGATTTCTTGTTGGGTAAAGAAATGAATATGAAAACCAAGTGTTATTAGAATCATGAATTTAACATCAATTAAACCAAGTTTTCTTTTAAATCCACAATCAATCACATCCACACTGCAAATCTATCTACATTAATGTAATAAAAGTTAAATCCTTTTGTCAATCCTTCAGCAGAATGAAGAACCACCCCAGAAATGTATACATACACAGAAGGTGTCCTCTTTAAAGTCCTCCCTTCCCAATATTCCATCTTCTCTCCTTTTCCATATAGTTTTGTTGTTTTCCCCTTCTTCCATTGTTAACAACTCTATGAGCCATCCGCCCTCGGCTGCCAATCGACACCCTAACCCGCTCCACCGCTACATTTAAACCACCACCCACTCTTCGGATCTGTTGTGGCTGCTGCATCATGGGCGTTTTCATCTGGTTTTTCTTATGAAGGCTTCGTCTTAATGCACTCATCAGCTTCTTTCCTCCCCCATTGCTTCTTTTTGGACTATCTGTAGCTAATGGGGACTCCATATCCACATTCTCGTTATCGCCTTCGATTGATGGCAATGGGCACAATTTGGTTGAAACCGGTGGTGGTAGAGGGATCAAAGAGTTTCTTCGTGGTACGACTGATCTCACTGGAACTCTCTGTGTAGTGGTGGTGCATATAGAGGCTCTCCCGGTTCGTTTTGGAACTGTAAATGGTTCTGGCAAATACGGGTTGTTTTCTTTTTCTATGCAGTCATCGAGGTTGACCAGATCTCTTGCTGGCGGGAGGGGTGGCGGAAGGGTCTTGTAGGTGGTGGTGTTCTTTTCAACAAGTGGTGGTTGAACGATATTCGCTGGGTTGTCTTTGGTTTCTTCAAAGTTCTTCAAGAGTTTAGGTGCGAGTGGAGGTCTTGAACTTGGCTCGTCTTGCTGTTGTTGCCTCATTTGCTGTTCTGCAATCTTCGTGTCAACATGTTGGCGTGCGAGTTTTCTCTCCACCAGAAGTTGTGATTCCAATTCTTTAACCTGAAGAAACAAAAACCCGAATCAGCTTATGATCTCAATCTCATTCTTGATGATAAATAAACATCTATCTTGCATACCTTATCTTGCAGATTCTTGTTTTTCAATTCTCTCTCTTTTAACTTCATGTCTAGACCATGAAAGTTATCCTCCATTTTCTTGATTTGTAGATCTTTGCTCTTCATCTCATGCTTGTATCTCTCGGCCTAAGAAGACCATAAACAAAAAGAAAAACCATGAGGGTTCTATGATTCTATTCGATTCTCAAAGTATGCAAACGGTTAACATCAAGATTACCATTTGTTTGTATTTCAAAACTTCTGAGCTTTCGATCTGCTTCTTTGCAGGACCCAACTCTATTCCTCTAACTCTGCTTGCAAAGTTGAGGGAGCAAAGTGATTCGCTTAAATCGTTCTCATTGGGACTGATCTGCAAAAACATTAGAGTCTTGGAGTCTCCACCTAAAAACACCATTATCATCAGGCATTGTTCATATTAGATATTTCTAAAAGTAGAAACTTTATTCTTGAAGTACTACCTAAAGAATCTTGAAGCAAGTGAGTGAGCTTGGAGTTTCTGCAGAAACCATAAATAGAAACCGATTAATTAAGTTAAAAAACATTTTAGAGGTTGCATTGCAGTCTAAAAAACCTGAGAAATTTTCAGTACCTAAAAGGAATATGTGAGCTTTTCGTTGCTAAAGCAGATATAACATCTCCAAGTGCAGAAAGCGATCGGTTTATATTTTGGGTTTCTTTGAGTCTTTCCCCTTGTACTTCTGTCTTAGCTACCCTTTCGCTTCCTGCTAGATCAACGAGCCAAAGCTTGCTTCTTGTGCATTCTCCATTTACCAAATTCTCCCCCTTAACCATGACACAATGTATACTGCACACGAAAAGCTAACCGAATTCAAGATGGGTTCAACGAAAAAAAGTTGATCATGAAAAGAAAAGAAACAAGACTGACCAATGGGATCGGCTACTATGCTCATTAGCATTGGTTGACCCAACTGCCCTTGCATTACTGCCGGTTTTCAGAACTTCCCAAACTTCACTCATGTTGGTCACCTGTGACTCAACCAGGCCAGGAACATGGTGCAACCCTTCACCATCTTGTCTTATTTCAAGCCTACAAAAACAATGTTATGCTATTTAGAACCCCAATTGCTTACTGCGAGAATACATAGAACCCCATCAGATTACTCTACAAAAGATCCCTTAAGGAAAGAAAGAGGGTCCCCAACATATATTAAAGAGGAAGATGTAGAACTCTAACAAACCCCCTCTAATGGAGGCTAGATGCACAAAGATATCCTCAATGGCTCTAATACCATGGTGAGAATATGTGGAACCCCATCGGATTACTCCAAAAGGGGCTTCCAACATATATTAAAGAGAGTGTCCAAATCTAACCAATATGTGACTCTTAACATGGACACACACAACCAAGTGAAGGAACATCGGTCCTACCTCTTTGCAGCGACTCCTGGCTGTGAACTTGGAAGCAGTAAATCGCGTATTTGTTCATTGTAAACTTCCAAAACACTGACACATATTTCATACTGGACTTGATTCTTACGCTCATCAATCACACGAAACAACTCTTCAAGGGTCCTAAAGTTAACTCCTCGGTCTTCATCTGTGCCCTCCATAGTAAAAGTTTTCCCAGTCCCAGTTTGTCCATATGCAAATATGCACACATTGTATCCATCCAGGACCGAGGTTGCAAATGGGGATGTGTCCTCAAAAACATCAACTATAAAAATGTCGGTTAATAAACATCAAAACCGAAACTTGTTTCATATTGCTAGACGTTAGTTACCTTGGTTTGCTTGGGGACTAAAGACTGCATCGAACTTAAAGTTTCTTTTAAATGCTACATTTGATTTTACTCTAAGTTCACCATCCCTGGAAGCTTCAAAATCAAATGCCATTGAAGCTCCTTCAGCAATCTCTTCTGAGTTTAACGGCCTACACCGACAAAATACCCTAATATTCCCTACAAAACCGAAACCGATCATTATCATAAGTTGGATACAGTTTTCTTGACATATAACAGATCATATGCCAGAACTAGACTGAAAAATCTAACCTTTTAATTCTTGGATCTTGTTATAGAGCTCTTTCCTTTCTTTAGCTCCTTCACTGAATCTGATCTTAAGATCTTCATGTTGCTTAACATGTTCATCAACTATTGAGCGAAGAACACGAATTACTTTCATTCTTTAAAATTGAAAATTGAAGTGAACCAATAATATGGAGGATTAAAAGCAATAGAATGTAGAATTTACTTCTTGATTGAATGATAGAACTCATTTCATTCATATCAGCAGCACACTTTTTGTAAGCCTCTCCCTCTTCTAGTAGCTTGATTTGATCCATTTTCATTATCTGTTTCCAGAAATAATTTAGTACAAGATTTGTATCGAATTTGATCCACAACAATTCCTGTATAATAGCGAATAGGATAGTATTTGGTACCTTTAGTTTTCTTGACATATCTCTCAAGGATGAGAACCATTTACTCTTCTCCTTCACTTGACCTTCAACTGCAAAAGCTGCCAAAACAACAAAATGAAACGCTGCAAATTCGGAAATTTTGGCAAGCCACTTCGATAAAAGATTCATACCAAGTGATCCAACATGCATCGATTTTCTCATTAGCTCGTTTTGAAGTTCCCTTAAAGACTTCAAAGCCTCTTTACATTCTTTACTCTTGCGTTCGTTCTCCAACTTCATCATCTCCACTTCCCTCTTTGCTTTCATCAGTTCCTCCCTCTGATTCTCATAATCTTCTTGAGGCTCATCACACCCTTCACCTTCATCTTTATGGTCATCATTGTCCTGAACAAAATAGATAGAAAAGTTTTGTTAATTTAACTGAGTTGCCCTTTTAAATTCAAAAATCTAGAAAAATCTTTGATGCAGAAGTGGCAAAAAAGTGTGGAAAGATGATTACATCACATGGTGCCAATGGAAGGAGCTCAAATGAAGCTTCTGAATTATCAAGATCTTCTGTTGGATCAGTTTGAGTATGATTGTAATCCGTAATCTTGGGTCCCTCAGTAATACCATTTTCGAGAGAGAGCTCAATGGAGGATCGGTTTAATAACTTGGGCGAATCTTCGTGAGCCCGGTTAGGGATATCCGGTGATCCCGAGCATATAACTAAATCAGGTGATGTTAAAGAAAATCCGAGCTTGCAATGACCTAAAATCAAGAAAAAGAAGAAAAATATAGTGATCAAATTCATTTTGAATTTGAAAATTTTATTTGAAAGTGGGTAAATTTTGAACCTTTCTCCATAATCTCATAATCAAGAACATCTTCAGACCCAATTGCATCTGAGCTCGAATTTCTCCAAGAAATTTCTAGGTCAAGGAAACAAAAACCCTAATTAGTACGAAAGATTCACTTTCTTCCAAGATCCAATAAAAGAAGAATCCTTTATTCACATTCTCACCATCAAGAACATCATTTCCAATTGGATCCATACAATCTTTAGCCCTAGTTTCTTCTTGGAGTCGATTTCGCATAGAAATTTCTATTTCAAGAAACCAGTTAGACTAATTTAATTCAAAGTAGATTTCCCTTTTCTACGATTCAAGAAACCCAACAGCAAAAACTGAATCTTTATACACGTTTTCTCACCTTCAATCTTGTTAAAACACAGATCATAAGGATCAGTGGTTAAAGAGGTCTGAAAGCTCGCAACAGGATCTGACGATCAAAAAACCCAAACTCAGTACAAGAACACACAACCCTTAATCGAAAATCGAAATACAAAACTTCAGCAAACAACAATATCTTCAGCATCAATCTACAATGGCAGATGTAATGAAGGAAAAGCACATACAATGAGACCAGGTTTCGTGTTGATGTTGATGTTGCTGTTGCTGTTGCTGCCAAGGGACATCAGTCATTAGAAGTGGGTCAAAACGATCACCTTCCATTGATGAAAAGAGGGAAGATTTATTTGAAGTTTGAATCAAAAAAGGGTGGACTGCAGTTTTCTTGAAAAAAGAGAAAGTAGTGGGGAGGAATGGATGCTTTTTTCCCCAATCTTGTTGGTGTGTTTGAGATGCGATGATTTCGTTAGGACGTGATTTCACTTTTTGCCGTTATGCGTCGTGAGATACAGAAGAAGACCGTTGGGTATTTGAATTTTTAAAAATTTCAACCCGGTCGGATTTATAAACGGAAAATGGACATGCCATTTTTTGCCACATTTGGTAGAAATTATACTTATATGATTTATGTATTTATAGAGTTGGGTTATGGTGAAAATGAAGGTTATGGTAAAAAGATATGCTTATCCGGATGTACATTAGGATGAGATGCATCAAGATGTATCAGATCACTCTCCGTATTAAACGTGATTCATGAGTGAGGTTGAGATTAAATGTGAACAAAGGTTCAGATTTCTTCTTACGTTTCTTATTTTAACTCTTCTTTTCACACGATTCTTCGTCTGCACAGGGTTGGGTTCCGGTGAGAAGAAAAGTTATGATGAGAAACGTAAGAAAAGATCTCCTACCTCAGGTCAATCCTAATTGAATGTTAATACTAATGAGGTGCACCAAGATGCACCAGGTCAATTCTCTTCTAAAATGCAATTCATATGTGAGCATGAGATTAAAAGTGATCAAAGGTTCAGATATCTTCTTACAGTTCTCATCGAAACTTTCCTTCTCATACAATCCTTCGCCATATACTATATATGTGTATATCTTACATATTTACCCACTTTTATACATGTTGGGTCACCTATTGCTTTGATGATGACCCACCGACATGTCCCACTATCCTATCAACACTTAGTAGTTGTTGATTTCTTTGTATATTGGTTTATTGGTACATAATTGAAACCCTTGACAAAATCGAAGACTAACTGATATGAAGACAGAAGATCACCGATGCGGTATTGTAGATCAACTGTATAAATTACACACCAAGACTCCAAAGTAGCTGATTTGAAGATTGAAGATGTTTTGAAGCTACTAGCCGATTGAAAGAAAATCTTCATGCACCGAGATTAGTAAATAGTTGTTTGAAGCTACTAATCCATTCAAATAAGATCTCCCTACAAACTAACTATATCTCTGCAAAACTTGTACTAGATAAATACATTCCTTATCAGTAGGTTTGTCTCTACATGTACAGTGTTGTGTGCATGCAACATACGATGAAAATGATATATCAACTATGGTCAAGTCAACTATTGCCTCCTTATCTTAAGGTGACAAGTGTTTTCATGCATTTAATGCATGAATGTAGTATAAAAAACAGAGTGCATCTCCCATGCAAACCACGCTTCCCTGGAAAAAAAAAATTCTAAGTGCATTCTCAATGCAATCAGATCTCTTCCATTACTCTCCTACGTGTGAAGAAAAACTCAGTGTTCTTCATTTCCTTATAAGTACTTTATGTGTTATTCTTGTAAGTTCTTATTTGTGTAAGATTGTTTATGTAAGGTTATACTTTCCTTCTTTCACAACAATATGTATTGTATCTTTGTGTGTTAATTCTTGATATATATCAATATGAATTAAAAAAAGTTGAAAAAATTTGTGTAATTGTATTCAACTCCCCTTCTACAATTACTTTCTGTTTATTGTCATTCATTCAGGACCAACAATATGATATATATTGAGTGGTTGTTTTGAATATGAAGTTATACTACATAGATTTGGAAAGCTGGTAGGAGATGGTTCCTTTGTAGCCTAAAATCATGGCAAGATATGATTCGTTCATTGTTATCTAGATCTTTTTCTATATGTATTTTTGGTCTTCTACATGCATATCGAGCACAATCGTAGGTAAATGATGTCGAGCACTGGTGGATTATAAATAGGGGTGCTCAAAAACCCGACCAACCCGATCAACCCAACCCAACCCAATGTGAAATAACCCAACCCGAAGCAACCCGATGTCTAATCGAGTTGTAAAATTGTCAAACCGTAGGTATTGGGTTGATATTGGGTTAGTATTATTTGAACCCAACCCAACCCGATGAACCCGATGAACTCGATATTCTTTTATTTCTTGGATTTAATATGATTGTTGAATTTCTATTAATATATACATTAGACAATTACACTATCATGTATGTTTTTCATATACACATATTTTCAATCTATTCATATCTATATATAACTCATTCAGTAACTGTGAACATAGATATGTAAATTGAGAAAATTAACTGAATGTGATATACGTAAGAAATATGAATAAGTTGTATCAAATAGTTGATGATGAAAAATAAATTATGAGTAGAGAAATAACATATTAAAGGTTAGAAGAATATTTTAATATACCAAAGTATCAACCCGACCAACCCGACTAACCCGACTAACCCGACCAACCCGTACGGGTTGGGTTGGGTTGGGTTGCACTTTGGTTTGGGTTGTGTTGGGCTAAGATTTTTCCAAACCGCAAGCATTAGGTTGGGTTGTTCAAATGTCCTCAACCCGATCAACCCAACCCATGAGCACCCCTAATTATAAAGGTCAACGTACAAAGCAAACAAATTGATGTGAATAAAAGAAATTATTGTTGACTTTTAAAGAATATGGTCGAGTTATAATAATAATAGATGATATGATAACAGAAGAATAGTTTCAAATTTAATAAGTGTTATTTTAATTTGTTGCATAATAAATATTGATTGTTTACATTGTCATTATATATTGTTGAATTTTGTGGTCCTAAACACACTTAAGGGAGTCCATCGACTTGGTTTTGGCAACCAGAAGTCGTATCTACAAGTCTGTAGGCTTGCGTTCAACAACCCACACTCGTTTGTAGAAGCCAGAGGGAAGTGTGGTAACTCCAAGTACATGCTTGCGAGTTGGGTCTTGCTAGTTGCGGAACTAGACAACTCGTATGTGGTCATTTTGGTACAAAGCAAATTGCAACTGATAACTTGTTGTAGCGTGTCACACTAAACGGGATAAGTAAAAAAAGTCGTGCTCGTTTGTGTTTGGAGAACACAACGTATATTTGGTGTCTCCCTCTCTCTATTTTTTGAAGTAGTCAGTATTTGAGCTTCTATTTTCTCCATTGTTACTGGTTGATAATCATATGTTGTAATTACTACTTTTTTGTTTATGTAAACCAGCTCATGTTCGATGTGTCGGCATACACGATTTGCTACTTATCTGTTTATGTTTATGCATTTTTTGTGTGTAAAAATAGGAATATACTTTAATTTTCATTTGTTTTAACATCAATTTTCACCCATTTTTTTCGATTTCAACTGATTTGACTATCAAATTATCATACAACATAATTTTAAAATTACCATAAATTATTATCCATAAATGAAAATTAAAACATGTTTTTTTAATTAACCTGGATATCAAACCCGCTATGCGAGCCGACTAATCCCAGGACGACCACATGCTTTGCAGATAGCACAGAGTCACCACATTTGAACCTCCGTGGCCACAAGGAGATTTTTATTCCTTATTGGATTTCAACATGTGACTTTCTGGTACCTCTGATCTTTGGAGCCAAGCTCAAACCAATCAGACACCACCCTTGTGGTTGGAAATTAAAATATGTTGTTGATTTGTAAAAAATGATATGTTTCTTTTTTTGGTTACGTTGTTATTATATGCATTTAGTTCTTGAAAGAAAATGAATCACGACATGATGTATATGTTTGACCTAAAACAAGCAAGTAGGGTCGTGATTATATTCTTCTTTCTTTCTCATATCAGTTTTTGAGGTGAAATAGATGATTTGACGTCAAATCTTCGATTTAGAGGAGGGTGAAAGTTCCGTATAAATCTGATTAAGGTGTTGTCGTGTGATCAGCCAGATTGACGAACAAGAGAAATTTAATACCTATTAGAGAATACCGACAAAAACCAAAGATCAAATAAGATCTTCGACCAACACGTTTGGCCAACAACAGCCAATTAAATCTTTTCTTCATGGTTGTATTAGAATCGCATAAAACTTCGTTATAATGTTTATATTTTATCATTATTAAAAAAAACATTTTAGATGCTAAATAAATCATCTGATAAAACCCTCTCGTAAAAGTATTTTAACAATACTTTGGCTGATATATTTGATCAATAACGAAACATTTCCAATAATTATATCACAAATCAAAAGTTTCATGTGACGTTTGATTCGTTGCAATCTAATGGAATTTGAAAGAATTGGAATGTCGTTCATCCATATGATTTATTATAAGGAATTTGAATTCCATTTATGACGAAATGTAAATTCTTTATGTTATAAATTATTTCATCCCATCTTCTAAGAAAAACTATTATATTATTGTATTTACTCCGTTCCCTTCTATCCCACCACGATAGTTGTCACCACCACTGTCGCCCCCCCACTTGCATCGTTGACGTTGCTGCCACTACCGTCAATACCAATGTCGCCTTTATCATCACTGTCCCATCGTCATCGTCATCACCACCGCCACTCCTGCCACCACCAATATTATATTCAATAAACCCAACGGCCAGGTTCAAAAAAAAAAATACAGATTCCATCTCTGTTTTTGCTAATCAAACATACTTAAATTTCATTCCAATTTTTTCATATTTCAATTCCTTTAACATGTTCCAATTCCGACAAATTCAAACGCCACCTCAATTTCATACAAAATAAACACATTTTGGTTTTAAAACAATAAAAAAATCTACAATAAACAACAAATATACTCTCATTTTATTTCTAATTACTTGGTTATCTGACCTTTTTTATTAACTTGGATGTCAAACCCGGTATGTGAACCGACTAATCCCAGAACGACCATCTGTTTTGCCTGTAGCACGAAGTCACCATGTTTGAACCTCCGTGGCCACAAGAGGATTTTATTACTCTATGGATTTGAACATGAGATATCCAGACACTTTTAACTCTTAGAAGACAAACTCAAACCAATCAAAAATCGTCCAACTTTCAAAACCCTATTCTGAAAATAATATTCGGAAAATATACCAAAACTTAATAACCATTTTTAAAATTCAACAATTTAATCAAAAATATATTTTAGAAGTAAAAAACAAATTGCAGTGTGGTTTCATTTTCCGATCTTTAAGTCGACGACGACGTTCCATTAATACCAAAAGCGAAGGACGGTGTGCAGTTTTTCCACGGTCAATATCCACCGTAAACAACCTGCTTCCCACGGCACACTTTCTCTTCTTCCCCTATAAAATCCCACTTTCGCCACCCACCATTACCATTTACCCATCACCATGATAACAACATCCAAGATTCCAAACCCAAGATTCGTAATGGAGGTTGCTCCGCCGCGTTTTATCACCGTCGTTAGGCGGCCGCTCACCGTGGTTCTTCCCACCATCAACGAAGATAAGAGATCGCTTGAGAATTTTCATTTTCGTTCAAGTGTCGTCACGCTACGTTTTAGAGGCAATGGCGCGTTGGATGTGTTGTTTCTTTTAGATTTTCTTTTATCGAGAGTTGAGAAAGTTTATGGCGTTGAAAGCATCTTTAAGACCGTATTCTTTTTGGTTTGAGAAGAGTGAGTCGGGCTTTTTTGCATTTTTTACGGTTAGTTAGTTTGTAATAATGACAGCTTGCTACGAGCAAAATAGTGAGCCGGGCTATTAATAGAGTTCATTTGTTTTTAAGTAAATGTATGTTAGTTTTCGAAATTACTATCAAATTCGTTTTTTGAAAGAATTTTTTTGACTAAATGTAAAATTATATCTGATTTTGCACTAAATATATATATATATATATATAAAAAAAATTAATAATCTACTTCTTTTACCTAGCATCAGGGGAGGACCTATTAAGCCCAAGCGGGTCCAATGCACCCGCTCAACTTATTTTCGTAAGAAGCTTTTTTATTAGGTATGAAAGATGTACCGGTTTAACTTTGAGGGATGCTCCGAGATATTAAAAAATACAAGGAAAGTCAATAAAAATATGGAAAAAAATCTCTTGAAAGCAATCAAACACCTTAAAAAATCCATTGAAATGATGGAATTTGGCTAAAAATACATCGAATAACTGTTGGTTGTTGATCCACTTTAGGATGCAGCCACTCGACAAAAATCTAGGCCCGTCACTGCTTATCATAAACTTTTGATGACGTTGGTTTTTGTCTTGAAAAGTTCCCATAGGTGTTTAGTATCTCGACTATTTGTCATACAAATAATTTATGTTTGCTTTTGTAAATCTCCAACAAATTCTCTAAAATAAAGAAAATTAAGTTTTTGTTATTTATATTGTCCAAGAGATTCCTTATCTTATTCTTTAAAATAGAAAAAATAGAGAAAACTCAAAATATAGTATAAATTATAAAAATCTTGTTAGGAAAGTTTAGGATTTTAAACGAAATTTCGAGGCCGTTTACCAAATTCTTATCTGGGTAAGCACTTATCAAGTAACACTACCTCACCGGATGAATATGGTAAGGACCAAGAATCTTGTCCGGTAAGAGCGAGACAAAGACCAAAAGTCTTACCCGATAAATGAGGGAGACGACTCTTACCACGGTAAGCGCTTACCGGGTAAATTATTACATATCATGTCGTTTTGTAGATTAAAATCTTATCTAATAAGTAAATAATAATGTTAAATTTTACTGGTAAGCATTTACCAGGTAAGTTGAATTGATTAATTAGTTTTTATAAGAATTTAAATACCAAAAAGATAACAAATTGAAATGGTAGCGTTCACGCGATATGAACTGACGGGAAAAGTAGATCCGTCCCTGGGAATATCAATCCAAAAAACATTCGCATTTCCTTCTGTTGGTCAATCATCGTCTTCATGGAAACCCTAAGGACCTCCGTCTGACCGCCGATTTTATCTCACCTGACTTCCCTTATCTACAGAGTGGTGCGTCTCTCTCTCTCTCTCACTCCCTCTTAAACCCTCTTTCACTCTTCAACTATTGTGAACTAGGTTTTGTTGGGGTTTTTGTTGTTGTTGCTGAGAATTTTTAGTTTTATTATCATTGGAACTCGATCTATCGATTACGATTCTAGATTTTAAGGTTTTTTTCCTTTTCGTTATTAATTAGATCTGTTTATATGAATTTCTCTATGTGTGCTCAATCCTGTAACCTGTATATTACTGCATTTCATTTCGTTTTCGGTGTAGAATTTGTTGATTTAAGTATGCTGTGAGTACAAGAAGCTATACTTGAAGCATTATATTATTTAATAAACTCTCAATTTCAATGCATGTAAAACCCTACAGAATCTAAGAGAGAGGGCACGTGCAACTTGATTGAACCAAACAAAACGATGAATAGTTCTCTTAGCAACAAGGAATTGACTCTATAGTTGTAAAAATAAATATGATCCTTGTGTGACTTAGAATAATATATGGTATCTCTTTGTTTTGCAAACGGCTCTTTGGTCGCAATTCATTAAGATCTTTTCTTCTTGTCTTTTTCCATATGTTTTTATTCTCGGAATACTTGAGAATTGAGAATTTTTTTGATCTTTTTTAAACAAGAATATGAGTCTTTCTTCTTCAGCTTTTAAACCCCTTGTGTAACAATTAAGAACACATGAATCCATGATACCTTACTTGAAATACAGCTGGTTATGCTTAGCTGAACATATCTAGTGCCCTACAGCGGAATCTTCTAAATATGTGAGTTGTAACGGATTAGTATTTGATTTCATTGCTAATACTGGCTATATAAGTGGCTCTTATGAGTTATGCCCAGTCAATGTTGCATTGCTCACTTTTGAGGAACTTTAAATTGAAAACCTAGCGAATGTAAGAAGCAGGGGGGAAATGTGTTAAATAGTAAAATTCAAATGGAACCCGCATAGTCCCATCATAAGCAAGCCTGTAGCTTGGTATGATTGAGGGCAAAATACTGAAACAATAAATTTCTATCCTGTAGGTTTGGCGATAAACGTGACAGCATCAGTGGTTTAGTTGATTGAAGTCTGATAGTCCCAATAAGATCCTTGCAAAAATGGCTATGTTATTCACCTCAAAAGGGACATGTTCGGTTCTTTTGACCTACATGGTTTTTCTCTTACATGTCTGCAATGGTTTTTATTTGCCTGGAAGCTACATGCATACATACTCAACTGGCGAAGAAATATTTGCCAAAGTTAATTCATTGACATCTATCGAGACGGAGCTTCCCTTTAGTTACTACAGTCTACCATACTGCTTGCCCTCTGGAGGAATAAAGAAAAGTGCCGAGAATTTAGGAGAACTACTTATGGGTGACCAAATCGACAACTCTCCCTATCGTTTCCGGATGAACATCAATGAATCTGTTTTCCTCTGCACCGCACATCCATTAAGCGAGCATGAGGTAAAGCTCCTGAAACAGAGAACACGGGATCTGTATCAAGTTAATATGATTCTGGATAACCTGCCTGCAATGAGGTTTGCCAACCAGAATGGAGTTATAATTCAGTGGACAGGGTTCCCAGTGGGATTTACACCCCCCAACAGTGATAACGATTACATTATCAATCACGTCAAGTTCAGGGTCTTTGTACATGAGTATGAAGGTACAGGTGTGCAGATACTTGGCACGGGGGAAGAAGGCATGGGTGTGATATCAACTGCTGATGATAAGAAGAATTCTTCTGGCTATGAGATTGTTGGTTTTGAGGTGTTCCCTTGCAGTGTTAAGTATGAACCTGAAAAGATGGCAAAACTCCACAAATACGATGAAGTGCCATCTTTGAACTGCCCGTTAGAGCTGGAAAAGTCTCAAATAATAAGGGAACAAGAGAAAATCTCGTTCACTTATGAAGTTGAGTTTGTGAAGAGCAACGTGAGATGGCCATCTCGTTGGGATGCTTATCTCAAGATGGACGGTGCTCGTGTCCACTGGTTCTCAATCCTTAACTCACTAATGGTGATCTTTTTTTTAGCCGGTATTGTTTTTGTTATCTTCTTAAGAACGGTGAGAAGGGATCTCACACGATATGAAGAATTGGACAAAGAATCTCAGGCACAGATGAACGAGGAGCTATCAGGGTGGAAACTTGTTGTTGGTGATGTGTTCCGAGAGCCAAACAACTCCAAGCTCCTATGTGTGATGATAGGAGATGGAGTGCAGATCACAGGAATGGCAGTTGTCACCATCATATTCGCTGCCTTTGGATTCATGTCACCGGCTTCACGAGGTATGCTTTTGACCGGAATGATAGTTCTATATCTTTTCTTGGGAACTGCAGCCGGCTATGCCGGAATATATCTATGGCGAACAATTAAAGGGACTTCAGAAGGGTGGCGATCAGTATCATGGTCGATTGCGTTTTTCTTCCCCGGGATCGTTTTCATCATCCTCACTGCATTGAACTTCATTCTTTGGGGCAGCAACAGCACAGGTGCCATTCCCATTTCATTATACTTCATACTTCTGGCGCTCTTGTTTTGCATCTCAGTGCCGCTGACCCTACTGGGAGGGTACCTGGGGACACGAGCCGAGCCCATTCAGTACCCTGTTCGAACTAACCAAATTGCTAGAGAGATCCCTGCACAAAAATACCCTTCGTGGCTACTTGTGATCGGTGCTGGAATCCTTCCATTCGGAACCCTCTTTATTGAACTATTTTTCATCCTTTCTAGCATCTGGCTTGGAAGATTCTACTATGTATTTGGGTTTTTGCTTGTCGTTCTTCTGTTGCTGGTCGTTGTTTGTGCTGAAGTTTCTGTGGTTCTGACCTACATGCATCTTTGTGTCGAGGACTGGCAGTGGTGGTGGAAAGCTTTTTATGCATCAGGGTCTGTCTCTCTTTACGTCTTCCTGTACTCCATGAAGTATTTGCTTTTCGACCTTAAGAGTTTAAGTGGTCCGGTATCAGCCATACTGTATCTTGGATACGCACTAATCACGGCAACTGCAATCATGCTGTCTACCGGCACCATCGGCTTCATTACATCTTTCTACTTTGTCCATTATTTATTTTCGTCCGTGAAGATCGATTAGGGACCCACATGACATAGGCAGACAGCAGACGGAGATCCAAATCTAATATATATTCGACATCAACATAGAAGGGGTGTACATTTTTCGGTGGCTTATCGAGGTTAGAGATTCTGGTGGCAATATATCTATCTTGTTTATGTTCTGCCTTTTTCCATAACTGATTATAATTGCAAGGTCTTGTTTGTTCCAACATTTTGGAGGATTATGGTCTTTGTTATGGGTCAGATTTAAATGTTCTTCATACTTTTGTGTTATGGGATTTGGCAAATTGCTTTCCTAAGATATAATGAAGGAACGTTTGTAGTTTGATTATAACAATGCACGGTTGGCATTGTGATGAATTATTGAGTTTTCAAGAAACCGAAAATTGTGTTTCTATAGCAACAGAAAGTTATGCATAGAGAAAGTTATGCGTTTTAGGGGCTGTGTTTACCCAAATGCTTATCTGGTAATCGTGTACCGATAATAGTTAACACTCTCATTTGCCTTACCGAGTAAGATTCTATCAAAATGGTATCGCAAGCAACAATTTACCTGGTAAACGCTAACCGGGTAAGAGTAGTCATTCTCAATTACTGGGTAAGACTGTTGGTCGTTATCATTGCTCTTACTGGGTAAGATTTGCGGCCATTAACATGTTGATCTGGTAAGGTAAGTGTTAATTTTTTGAGTTTATTTTAAAAGCCCTCTTAAAAACTGAAATTGATTGATATAACTGGGCTAATGATCAAAGACCAGTTGTAGAAAAAGGTAATGGAAAAGAAACAGGATCCAACAAAAAAAAAGCCTGGGATTCTGGCCTCTTTCCTTCGGCCCAATATGCTGTAGCCCAGAAACGTCTAGTAGTTTTACTTATACCTGCCCCGCAAATTGGGTAAGGTCCGGCCTAGGATAAATTAGGACCGATTATGGTCTGAATTCTGATGGTTCGGCATTGGTTACATGTTATATGGAATTGGAATATCAAGACCCGGTACAGGATGGGCTATGTTTTTAAAGTTTTTCAAGATTTTATCTACTTAAACGTATTATTAAGTGTATTTCAATACTACATATTATAAATTGTAATATAAAAACATCTGCAACGTTTTTGTGTAAAAAAGATCTCAAAAGAAATATATTGTTTTTGAAACCGGGCCATGTCCAGGACTGGGATTGGCCGGTCCGATTTCGAAGAGACCAATTTAGACGGGCCTTACGCGGGTCCGAGACTGACTTTTCAACCATCTATTGCAGGTACTGGGATCCTATCATGCTTTACCCAAAACCAACTTAGTATTCCCTTCTTGACTTGACAGTTGACACACATCAACAACGCCTAGGGCTCCATTTTTTTTGCCATTTTGTGCTTGACTTTCAAGTTCTTGAAGGCTTTTCATATATGCAAGAAAATTTCTAACATTTGACACCCAGCCATAAATAACTCAAAATATTTAGCTCCAATTTTTGAGGATTGTTTTTGAACAATAAAGGGTTGTTTGGTTCATGTCGGGGAATGAAAATGACAGAGAATAAAAATGGAAATGAATTTTCATTTCCCCACAGTTTAATCTGGAATGAAAATTTGGGCTTTTGGGGGAATGAACCTGTTATATTATATAATACCAAACAAATTTTATTTTCTTTTATTTTCATTCCTATTGATTACTGTTTAATACCTCTAACCAAACACTCCATAAATTTGAAATTAATCCTCAATTTATTACAAAAAAAATCAGTTGATGTTGTCAACTTATAATATTAAAAACGAGCAAAACCATAAAAATAATTGAAAGAAAAGTTACGGATTTATAAGTTGATCAAATTCAAAACTCAAATTAAAACTCTATAAATTAGTTGTCTATAACAGTATATTTTCCAGCCACTTCAGTTTCATCAGAATCGATTTTGCGGGTGTTGCTCAATTTGATGAGGACCACTTATATATGGAAAGAATTTCAAACATTTTACATAAAACCAGAGTTTTATTAAAATTAAATTATTAACGAATGTTTTGTCGTTTAGTAAATTATAAAACTATTGAGTTGAAGTTTTCAAAATTTTGCAAAAACTACATAAATAAATAATCGTCAAACATCATCAAAAACATTGATTTAAAAGAACATAAAACATTTATCATTTAAAAAGAAAGCATATCCAATCAAGTATAGAAGTATAAATGAACATTAGTATGAAAGTCGAGGGGTGTCGGTGATCTTTTAAAAAATGTAGGGTGAAAAATGAAATTATGCCTTAAACAACTACTTAATGAAGCGAGCTTTTCAAACTAGCCGTTACAAGCTGAAACGCTCTCCCATCTGTCTTTCTCTTTCATCTCCTATCAACCCAACCCATCAAGAATCTGCTCAAATCCACCACAAAATCTATTCTCTAATTTCTTTTTTTTTTCTTCAAAATCTCTCTCCTCTCCTCTCTTTGTAAAAATGTTCACCGAAGGGTTAGATGAAACTGCACTGAACTGGGTTAAGCAGGTACTTCAACTCTCCATTTTGATTATTTGTTAAAGTTACTGATATCAAGTATGCTTCTTTTCTTGCCTTTTTCATTGAAAAACTGAATCTTTAATGTATGCTTCTTTTCTTGCCTTTTTCATTGAAAAACTGAATCTTTAATGTCCTGTTCATAACAATTTGTATGATACTATCAGGGGTCAGAGAAAGAACAGCATCGACCTCGTTCGCCTCTAAGTGAGACTCTGGCTGATCACGAATACCTGGTTCCTAAATCTCCTCTTTCGTTTAATTCTACAACTTATAAGTCATCTAATGTATTGCCACCCCTTAAATTCCATTCGGGTCTTCTTGGATCTCATAATCTTGAGACAAACAATTTCAATGATTATGAACATGATGATGATGATGATGATGATGATGATGATGATGATGATGATGATGATGATGATGATGATGATGATGATTATGAAATTGATGATGAGAGTGTGGGATCTGCTTCAGATGATATGGACTGCACTAATTCTGAGGGAGAAGGGTTTGATGAAGAAATATATAATGTTAATCCAGTTAGACTACCTGTACCAATTGGACCCAACAGGTCTACTTTGAATAGAGGCTTCCTAAAAGAGAATCTTTGTGTTGAAGTTCCTCAAAAGAACAGAAAACTTACTGGGATTGGTGGGGTCGGCACACAGCCAAGTTCAGTTTCAGCTGCCAGTCGGCTGCGTGATATGTTGCAACCTCGTAGTGCCTATGTAAGTTTATAATCTCCTTGATGTCATATGGTTTATAAAAGTTCATTTCTATTGACGATAGTGATGAATGTAGGGTACCCCGATAGCTGATTTGGGAACTCCAAGTGCACCTCCGATTTATGAAGGAGGAGCAGAGCCCATTCCTGAGATTCAAGGTCAATCAAGTAAAAAATCTTCAAGGTTTTCAGGAAATGAAGTGAATATGCCAGAAAAACTCACCAGTGAGGAGTTTGGTCATGATGGCAACTTGGAGCCGTCTGTTAGTGACAGGTCAGATATTCGAATATGTGCCTCACTACAACAAAATTGGTTTTATAAGATGTTAAATATATCCAAATATCTTAAATTCTTAATAGACTGTTTTTATAGGACTTAAAGTAACGGTGTTACAATAAATTGATATGACACCCTTGGGCGTCCTAACAAGTTTTTTTACAAGAGACCTACTTTTATAATACATTTTTTTTTCAAAGTGGGACACATTATTTCAGAAGTATCCTAAAAAATTTGTTAAGACGCCCAAAGTCCTATCCACTTATTCTAACACCTTGACGTAGGAAGCACAATTATTTGGTACTATAAACTTAAAGTCTTATGAAGCAGACTATTAGAATATTTAGACATTTGGCGTCCTATAAGGCCGATTTCTTTCTAGTGCATGTTTCCGTTCAACATCATTAGTTCATTTTGTGGAATATGTTGAGATAATCCTTTTATGCAGGGAAAACGAAGCCATTCCTGAAAGAACAGACACATCAGTGCCTTGCATGGAAGAAACAAAATCACTAGATCATTTACCTTATTATAACAGGTAGTACAATAGTTTGATTGCTTTGCTATTACCGAGTAAGTGGTATGTTCTTTTAATCATGATTCAATTTCATGGCAGTGGTCAAAACCCATGGCAAACTCTAATAACTTATGACGCATGCTTCCGCTTATGCCTAAACGCATGGGCAAGAGGCTGCCCAGAAGCACCTGTGTTCCTCAGTGATGAATGTCGGCTTCTACGCAATGCCTTTGGGTATGTTACCTTATAAATTGTGTCTCTTTCGTTCTGTTATCATATATTGCAAGCCTTAAAGGGTTCCYGTTTTTGTAGACTACACAAGTTATTGTTGCAACCTCGGGGTTTCAAATCAGTGACAAGTAGTGGTATCGAGAATACAGATAAAGCATGCCCATTGAAAGTCAAGAAAGTGATTGGAAAGATAAGGGTTGAAGGTATGRTCCTTAACTTATAAATTCAAACAATGCCCTGCCCATCTTTCTGGTTTAAATAASCTACTGTAATYGCTGTGCATTTGTGTATGATTTGGCAGTGAGAAAGATAAGAATCATCCCACAAAGAAAACTTAAGGACACATACTCTCAGCAAAGTGCTATCTATGTGCAAGCAGGAGTTGAGTACATTCGACATGTTTCTTCCCTTGTAAAAAGCAAAATCAATGCATTAGGAATCTCTTCATTTTCACTTCCATCTGAAGGTTTGTACTTTTTCGTACCGATGATCTGATGAACATAAACAATTTCTAATTAACAAAAGAACATCAAGTGTTCAGTGGATAACTGGAAGATGTTATCATGTTGCAGAACCAGTGTCATGCTTATTGCACCTTAGAAGTTCTGAAGAACATACAGAAACTGAATCAGCTTTAGGCATTTGCTTGAGACCTGGAACTGGTGATTCCCATGATTTGTAAGTTCCTATGATGTAAAAACTTAGAAGTTATTGCGTAAAATTTAAAAAAATACTCCAAAGTTGTTGATCATCTTGTATTGACATTAGTTTCCCAGAGAACCAAGGAGATGCCCTTCTGCTAGAAGTACGGGGTGAGAAAAGGACTATTCAGGGTCGAGCAATTATTCCAGTCTCATTCCTACATGACAATCCTGTAAGTGTTAAGTAGACAATATATATATAGCTAGCGAAAGGTTCATTTGAGAAGTGGTAAATATTTGAGAAGTAAAGAAGTGATCCTAGCTTTCATTTGGTCAACATTTGCGACTTTGACCGTGAAACACCGGATGATTCCTCTTATGAGTGCGATAGAGGGGTAGTTTCGTAACTTTTACAAATAGGCGACAAACGGGTTCATATACGAACCCATGCGATGCACATATGAACTATATATATGAACCAATTAATTAGTTCATATGTGAATCGGTTAATTAGTTCGTATGTGAATCACGCGGGTTCATATGTGAATCAATTAAAATAGTTTATATGTGAATTACACAAGTTCACATATGAACATACAGAGTTCATGTGAATTACATAGGTTCATATATGAATCCGTTTGCCGCCTATTTGTAAAAGTTACGAAGTTCATGTGAATTACATGTGTATATATATTTCACATAGCCGCAATTTTTGACCAGCCAAAGCCGTAATTATTGACCAGTCAAATACGATCTTGACCGTATGAAAGGCTAGGATCCCTTTTTTACTTCTCAATATATATTTACACACACATATGTACATAGCGGGAGCTTCAGGAGAAAACTCCCTAAAAACGAAAAACTGAGGAATACCCTTGTAACCATTCATCTGGATTGTATGCACATACAAGTAACTGAAGTTGTTTCTTGGTTTTTATGCACGTATGAACGGTATGCATATGGACAAATTGCTTACAAATTACTTGTATGCACATGTGCATACCGTCCAGATGAGGTGTTTCTCAGTTTTTCATTTTTTGAGGTTTTCCGCTGAACCGGACCCTATAAACATAAATGCATATATTGGTTCTCATGATTCTCAAAATATTTATGGTTCTCATTTAAATTTCACCTATGACAATATATGCCTTCCTGCTCATTACCGTATGTATCAATGTAAAATTCATCCTATGTAGAATGATAGAGTCAAATGGTGGCCAATCTATCATGATGACAATGAGTGCATCGGGAAAGCCCAACTTTCCATCAGCAGTACAATTACATCTGATGAAACTACGCACCTCAAGGTTTGTGAAGTTCTTGCTAACAAATGTGATTGTGTGTTCTAATTCGTCTTATAGTTTGAATCTTTTTCCTATATTCGACAGTGTGGACCTGTTGTGGAAACACTTGCATATGATTTACTGTTGGAGGCTGCCATGCGTGCACAAGGTTTCCACGCACGAAACTTGTGGGTTGTTGAACCATGGAAATGGTTGCTGACAGAGTTTTCTGATTATTATGGAGTTTCAGAATCATACACTAAACTCAGGCATCTTTCACATGTCATGAATGTCGCTACACCTACAAAAGATTGCTTTGAGCTCATTTATGAATTACTTGTACCTGTTATGAAGGCTAGAACGGAGAGAAGACTAACAAGACAAGAGGTAGGATATCCTAAATCTCCAGGAAGGCCATGAAACTCCATGGCAGACCTTCACTATAACAAATTCAGCTTTATAGGATGCCAAAGATGTCTAAAGAGCTGTTTGGTTGGTTGGTTTTCCATTAAATTTTTTATTAAGTCCTGTATGGATAAATTTGTCTGTCCGGATAAATTTGTCTATCTGGATAAATGAGTGTTGTTGTTTACTTTTTTATCTGAACCAATAGTCTGAATAACATAAATGACCGATTTACCCCCCAATATTAATTATTTGAACATCATAACAAAAAATCATAAAGAGGTTGACGATGGGGTGTCTCATTTGGGAAGGAGGCGATGCTTTAAATAAGGGGTAGGGGTGTCATTTTTGTGGCTGAATGGGGACAACACACGATTTCTATCTGTGCGATTAAGCCATGTTCTGTGTGAATAAGCCGTAAGTAAACAACCCAAATGAGCTGTGCGAATAAGCCAGATATACCAATAAGCTTAATTAAGCTGCAAGTAAACATCCTCTAAGTCTTGTACGGATAAAGCATTTCTGTGTGGATTAACATGTCTGTATAGATTGGGAAGATTTTTATTTGGGAAGGTTTTTTTTCTTAGATGGAAGGAGCGTGTTTTTAATTGGGAAGGACATGTTTGGAAAAAACTTCACTTTCTGATAAAGCTCCCTCTATAACCTTACTGAATGAATCACTTTCTAATTTCCATCTCATTAATCCACTACCAAACAGTCATTTATCGCAACCGAATAAGTTGCAAGTCCAATTAAGCTCATTAAGCTGCTAACAAACATACCCTAAATGTCTTTATAGAAAGCTACAATGTTGCGTCCTTTATAAAGGTGTTACCATTAGGACGACTTTGGCATACTAACAAGTTTTTTGGGTCACTTTGAAATCAAGTGTCTCATTAACTTATTGTAATGCCTTTACAATGCATAATTGTTTGGTCCGATAAAGCAGCCTATTAGGACATTTAGACATATTTAAAGTCATATAAAGCCGATTTCTTGTAATGGCGTAGACTCGATTCCTGAACTATAATATATTTTCTTGTCATCTTGCAGAAAAGCTTGTTATTGGACTGTGAAACGCAAATGGAGGGTCTACTTGCACTTGCTTTCCAAAACTACAAGTCATTAGAGGAAAGCTCTTCTACGGGTTTAGCAGACATTTTGAGTCCAATTCCAGAGGCTGCTGCACCAGCATTAGCTCCAGCTGTTCAACTATATACCCTTATTCATGATATACTTTCTCCAGATGGACAAGCTTTATTGAGCAACTATTTACAGGTGGAGAATCGTATAGTTTCGGGTTGGTAGAGTAGTGATAATCGTATAAATAAGTTATGTTGTTTAAAAAGTTTGTATTTTTACAGGCAGCAGCACGAAAGAGGTGCAGGAAGCACATGGTGGACACAGATGAGTTTGTGGCAATCAACATTGAAGGTTTTCTTATGGATTCTATTGCAATTACTACAGCATACTTAAAAATGAAGAACCTGTGCATAACCTTAAGTGATGAAATAAAGACGGATATCAAGATACATAACCAGCACATACTACCAAGGTACAGAAAGACTTACTTTTAGTGTAATTTAGGTTTCATTGTCATTCCATCATTCTGATTCTGGACATGTTGGTGTTGCTTTTCAGCTCTATTGATCTCTCAAGCATCACAGCTGGGGTTTACAGCAGCGAGTTATGCAAACGGCTTAAAGGATTTCTTGCTGCATGGCCTCCTTCGAGTCCTCAGCCTCATGTCAACGAACTTCTTATAGCAACTGCTGACTTTGAGAGGAATCTTGAGTCATGGAACATCAGGTCTGTTAAATGAAACTTCATTTCCTCATGTCAACAGAAATCAAGAGCAAAATACTGAAAACATTATTATTTTTACGCTTTCAGTGTAGCTCAAGGTGGTGTAGACTCGAGAAACTTGTACCATAATTACATCATGGTTTGGGTTCAAGATATGCAACTTTGCTTACTTGACTTATGCAAGGCTGAAAAGGTACCTCATTTGACTATTTCTATAATTGGAAAACCCATGAAGGATGGTATTCCAAACCATAAGCTACACTACCTCTTGCAGGTACCATGGGCTGGGGTGATTACAAACTATTCTACTTCACCATTTGCTGAGGATTTATATGATAAAATCAAAGAAACATTGAGCGAGTATGAAGTTATAATCAATCGATGGCCACAGTACACATTGATCTTGGAGAATGTAAGTTATAATCTATGCTTCAAGTCAAAACACAATTGATGCCCAATTTGGACCATCTATTGATTTTAAATGTTTACTGTTGACACCCGAAAGGCTGTTGCAAATGTGGAGAGAGCAATCATGAAAGCATTGGAAAGGCAGTATGCAGATATTTTGACACCTCTGAAAGATAGCATTCCCAAGAGGCTTGGCATTCAAGTTCAGAAATTAACAAGAAGACAATCAACTGCCCCGTATTCCATCCCTAATCAGGTGAGAGTACAGTTCTAAAGAGAATTTTTGATACCCGATATCAAATAGAGCTTACATTTTTCTCTTTTCTATGGCAGTTGGGTACTTTTCTTAACACCATCAAGAGAATTCTTGATGTTCTGCACTGTAGAATTGAGGACAAACTGAAGTCATGGGCATCCTATCTTCCGGTCAATGGGGACAAGAAGTCAACTTATGGAGAGCAAATGAATGCAGTTACGGTCTTACTGAGAACAAAGTACAAAAACTACATGCAGGCTGTAGTGGTCAAGCTAACTAGTAATGTAAGTAATAAAATACGAATTTAACAGTCAAAAGAGGTATTTTTTTTCTATAAAACTAATGAGTCATCAATCATACAGATGCAAGCAAGTCGGAACACGCGACTTCAAAGAATCTTGGAGGAAACAAAGGAAACAGATGGAGAGGCTGAAGTCCGTGAGAGGATGCAAGTTCTGTGTTCACAGCTTGTGGAGTCTGTATCCAACTTGCATGAGGTGTTCACAAACCAGATATTCATTGCTAGTTGTCGTGGTTTATGGGACAAAATGGGACAGGTGATCAATCTTTAAGTTAGTGTTTCTAGATCTTCGCTTGCTTTTGAAAAGAACGTATTCTGATGCTTTGAAATGTATCACTTCTAGATTGTACTCAAGTTCCTAGAGGGCAGAAAGGAAAATCGTGTCTGGTACAATGGATCTTATTATGCTCTTGGGGTAAGTTGTATGCATTAGATCTCTGTGTTTCGCAACATATGTATTTAATGCATACCTCTTTTGGTTTGTAGATTCTGGATGATACATTTGCATCCCAGATGCAGAGATTGCAAGGAAATGCCTTAAAAGAGAAAGATCTTGAACCACCACGCTCAATCATTGAAGCTCGGTCCATTCTTTGCAGGGATACTACAAATGCAGCAGACACTTCCACCTACTTGTATTTTTAGTAGGTACTACTCCCACCACCATTAAAGAAATACAAACCCATTGTAAAATTTATATAATTTGCTAAATGCTCATTCTTTTGTAAAAAATATTATTTATATGAATAATAATCGATCGCAAAGGGTACCCAAGTGTTCTTTTCTAGATTAATACTAGGTGCTAGTAGTGCTCATTCTGTTGAACTGAACCTGTGAATAGTCAAGGGATGAAATTTCTATCTTAACAATCCCAATCCAAAATGCCCAGATTAGCTTCTTCTAATTACAGTGGTCTAAATGGAGAGGTAAAAACACGTCAATATATCAATATGTAAAATCGGATATCTACTTCAAGTAATAGAACCTGAAATCTACAACCATTTGTGTTTACCAGAGGTTACGAAACTATTACATACCAACTGTTAGGAAACTGTGTACAATAATAACTATGCCATAACGGAAGTGACACTGGAATATACAGTTGAGTTGAAGGATCTGTCAATTTCAACTCATGATTCTGCTGCTGCCTGATGGATTCAAATCACTCTCCTTGGGATTTGTATATCTGATGTGTTCCAACAACTGCAGCTTTTAAGGTTTATCTTCTGCAGAACCAGAGACAATGAATCACTTTCAACAACAATGTAGAAGAAAAAAGGGTTTATAGTCAAAAAGGGTTTAAATTGTTAAACATTCTAAAACTATGTACCAGGCCAATATTTTTGGCTAAATATGATTCTACCACTTGGGCAGCAGAAATGACTTACGTATAGATTCAGGATCTAAATGTACATAGAAACTTGCACCAACTATCAAATAGCAAAACAGGAGCATTAGTCCTTTGAAGTAATTGGATGTTCCCTCCTGCAAATATAGAGCGGGGTTTAGTTGGTTTAGGCAGGGGAGTGAAATTTGCCTAAAGTATACGGTTTTCTCGCAAGGGGTGAACCTGCAACATGAAGGCCACTACTAGAACCGTCATAAAAAGAGTTGCTGTCTCAAAGAGTTGAAAATTTAGGTCCAGTGGACGTCCAATGATCCACGCAACAACCACGCAAAACGGAATCTGCAGTTTCAGCAAAGAAATAATAAAATTAGATGATGCTAAAGATACTTGAAGGTAATAAATCCTACAAACCATATCAAATTCATATTTAGTAATCACTAGGCTTGACATTAAAATTCATAACAAAAAATGTACCCCGAACATGGATATTTGCGTTGAGGAGCCAATTGCCACTCCTAAAGAGATATCCTGCGCAGATGTTAACCAAAAATTAAAATATGTTTGATGGTCCTTGTGATGACTAAAAACTAGGAAGCAAGCGCTTACAAGCTTGTCTTTCACCGCAAACATGATGGCACTGGCGTGCTCTGCTGCATTTCCAACAATAGGAAGCAGGATAACGCTAATAAATGCTAAGGGGATATTCAATGCGAGAGAAGCACCCTGAAAGATTTAATCATGTCTATGGTAAGAAAGGTTCGAGAAACAGTTACTATTTACTGAATTCAGATTAGTTCGTTCCACACAATCTTGATACCTCGATGGTGTTGACTAGATATTCAGAAAGAACCGAAATGATAAGTGTCAAGATGCTGAGCCAGATAATTGATTCGCACTTTGAAATAGCAGGAGATTCTTCATCATCTGAACTCCCATCATCCAGACTAGCTTCCTGATATTTGTAACTCAATTTTAGTAAAACATAGCATGTGCTGCTTACTCGGAGAAGAAAATTAATCAACTCTCAATATACAAAAAATCTTTTTCTTGAAGACTGCTGCAGACCTATTTTAGAAAATACTAAAAGGTACTAAAAAAAGAAATACTGGTGAAATTTTGTCATTTATATATGGTTTATTGCAATCGTCAATGCATCTGGTGGAAACACATGCAGAAGTGTTTCCACAAGAACTGATAAACTAAAGAAGAAAGAAAGGTTGGCCCTATTGAGGGTGTAAATACCATCTCCATAACCAACCTCAGTGATTGGAGAATACGAGTTCTTCTGGCTAGTCAACTGGAAATAGAGATAGGCACCATATGCTATAAGCATTATACAACTGCTAAATCTTGAAAGGGCCAACTCTGACTTCCCATAATGCAATTCCGTATGTGTGAAGTGGAGAACGGCTGGGAACAACAGACCCATGACTGCCATCAACAGCAATCCGGAGCTCATCACGGCATTTGACTGTCAACAAGTTGGTATAGATATAAATCTCAAGGTTTGATCAATCACACAGCAAGGAAATCCAAGTATTTCCATGTTAAAAACGATAGAAGGAAATCCAAGACCTCCACTCGTTACTTGACTAACCTTGTTAAACACCTGTTCCTTATTAGGATGTACGATTCCTCCACAGAGAAATGCACATCCAAGCACAAGCAACATATTGGACAAAATTGAGCCCAGTAAAGATTGCTGTACAACACGTAGCATACCATGTTTCATTGCGTACATTGATATTATCAACTCTGTTGCATTGCCAAAAGTAGCATTGAGAAGACCCCCAACTGCAATTTCAGATTTTCCAATCCATGTATTAAATATCAAAGCATAATTCATAAGACCAGTTATCATTACTTCAAAAATCACTTCCTCTAATATTCATTAACTTCTATTCACTAGTAATATAAGATTAATTCTAAGTTTACAACAATGTCAAACTATTGATTTGGATTAAAAATGAACAGTTGGGTAAGACACCTGTAGGTCCGGTGTAGAAAGCCAGCTGTCTGCATAAAAAGAAGCCAAAAACATCTTAGATGACTACTGTATTGATCAAAAATCAGTCAAATGCAGTCCATATAGGATGCAGTTATAACACAACTAGCCTATATCAAATGAAGAACAGATCTAAATAGGATCCTTCACAAACATCATAATGCAGGTTCATATGAAGAATTGATGAAAATGTGAAAGATAATTACTCGGTAGCCCAACCCAAACGTTCTGCCAAAGGTATGATGCCCAATAAGCTCAGGAAGAAGACCCAACCCTAGTATCAGAAAGAATCAAGTCATAACAGGTATCCAAAATGCTATTGAAATTGAATAACAATGAATATAGCTCACATGTTGATTCGTCAATTTATAAACCACCATTGCCAAGGGGCCAAAAGGTATGAGTAAATTAATCTTATCAGAGAAAAATGCGATCTTTATGCTGGTTATCACTACACTCCATATATATTTTCTGTCTGAAACTGAAACGCCTTTCAAAGAAAGCATATTTCTTTTGGTTGATACCCAACTGGATTGGCTCTCATAATTTTGTGGCTCGATGATTGACTTCCTCTCTAGCGATCCCATCTGTGAGAATTCTTGTTGTTAGAGAAACGCATACAGTTTCTTGGTGCATATCATGCTATGATCATGGTCAAAAAGAGGGAAAAGGCGTAAGACTCACTTCGGCATGGGAATTGGATCCTATTATCTCCAGATTATCGGCATTACCCATTTTTTGATTAATGAAATTGCTGAGAAGCCAAAGAAGCCTTAACTTATTGCATCGAACTTCACTCAGCGATCAGCATGAGTATGACTGCTCCATAGAAATCCAACCCAAACCAAGTTAACACCCACCAAAAAAATCACTGCGCAAATCGCTGAATTTATCAACTCGAATACAGAAAATGAACCAAGACAAAAACAAAAACACTTGGTGGGCTGAGAATAATAATCAAAGGGTTCACATGGGTTTCTCAACAACTTAGATACATGCTATTAAAGAGGGGGAAGCTTCGAGGAAAGTGGAAAGCTATGATTGAAGTCAATGATTATGGGTAAACACCCATTAATTGTAAGGGAAATTTGAACAGCCTTTCTCCATCGGATCAAATGAGGAGTTCTTTTAAGATTTTTATTAGCGAAAAGTCATTGTATTTGATTTGTTGTTTGCACGTTGCTGTTGATGTTGTGGTTCCTTTAAGTAAACGCTAAGACAATGAAGATGAAATGCAGTGATAGAATCAATTCATTGCAAATCGTATGTATAGACTTCCTCGTTTATTTTTCAGTTTCCACCCCTGATCAGGTTCTTTCTTGAGGATGGTCTGAGTCGATGGCCATCAACATCATTGTGGAAAAAACTGTCGACTTTTAAATGTTTGACAACGAATCTGGTGAGAAGAGTATCTCCCGTAAATTCTTTTAAACCCAGCCTAGAAGTCAAAAATCTTTATAAGAAATTTTTTATTTAAGAGTTTTATATTTTAGAGATTTTAATATTAATTATATTACTAAAATATTTAATATATTTTATAAAATATTAATTTATATATCTATATTATATTATAAAACATTTGATAAAAACTCGTAAAAACCACTTTTTATACATTAAGTACTGTTTATTGACGTATATTACTTAAAATTCAATATTACAAGTAAATTGTCCGTATGTACAACTTACTAAAGCTCCATTTCTGAATTTGTGTAAATAACTACATATAAGCATAATCAAATTCTAGATAAGTATCTCATTTTAAATACAAAAAATCCAAAATATATTTAAGATAATCATTGAATTCAAAATACCTAATATTAGCTTTATAAAAGAATTATGTTATCTATACTATATTATAAAATATTTGACAAAAACTCTTAAAAATCATTTTTTATGCATGAAGTATTGTTTATTGATGCATATTACTTAAAATTCAAGATTACAAGTAAATTGTGCATAAGTACAACTTATTACAACTCCGTGTTTGAATTTATGTAACTAACTGCAGATAAACATAATCAAATAGATGATAAACTCTCATTTTAAATATAGAAAATCTAAAATATAATTAGGATAATCATTGAGTTTTAACAAAATACTGAATTATTATCTTTATAAAAATTATGTTATTAAACCAAATATAAATTACTTTGTTATTAAATCTATACTATATTATAAAGCATTTGGCTAAAACTCTTAAAAACTCTTAAAACTCTTAAAAACTCTTAAACCCGTTCATCCCTAAACGATTTCATTCCTATCCGATTTCATCTCATATCTGAATTCGTGTAACTAACTGCAGATAAACACAATCAAATACAGGATAAACATCTTATTTTAAATATAAAAAATCTAAAATATAATTA